AATCTTATTTGAAGAGTTTCTTACGACCCTTTCACTGGATTCCAAAAAACACGTTTTCCCATTCTTTGTTGTCGAATAAAAAGTTTTACCACAAAAATTGGTGTGCCCCTTTTATGCGCCCATGTTTTAAATACCCCCTTGAACAACTTGCATCAATAAAACTTAACTTTACAATTATTTCGCAAACCAGCGCTATTTTTGTCTAATATGATTAGACTATACTGTCACTATTCTTAATACACATATAGATATATAACTAGATTAATTATGTCAACGAAACTTCGTCACTATAATGATACTATAATAGTACAGAGTGCATAATGGATAGTACGGTATGGTGCGTAGAGATTTGCACAGCGCTGTCAGACATTGTGCCTGTTTTTAATATTGCTATTTTTCTGTGATGTTTGAAAAGCAAGTAAATAATCATTACTGATAAAATAATATACCAGATTAAGAACATAGTCATGATATTCTTTTTATTTTTTCGGTTGATATTATATCTAGCACTCCGTCTAAATGTTCCTGGGCAGATGTCAGACAGGTGTGGCATATTTAACATCTAGTTGGGGTTTAACCCCTCAGAAATGTTTTAAAAAACTGGGTGACCATCTTTTGATACTGGATTAAGTACAAATGTTTTCAATTTTGACCATGATGCCGGTATAATGTGGTGTATTTTGGCTGATCGGGGATACTTTGCTTCACGTGTTAGTTTGTTCGGTACTAACTCCTCGTGACCCGAGTTCAACCTATACAAGCATGGAATGATCATTTTAATCTCGCCTCAAATCTTATAATACGTGTCACGTATTTCAATGGTTGAGTTAGGAAAAATGATCTTGTTCTTGCCTCTGGGTGCGTTAGGACATAAACCCCCTCTGCTATTCTGTTACGATTGTTGTTGTTCCTTTATGGCAAGACATTGGACAGATATATCTGATGTCCTATACGGTGGCACCGTGAAATAATTTTCGAGCGCAAGGAGGCCCTTGAAGAGCAACTGTCGCAAATACCTGGACCTCATATTTGTCTGATTACCGTATTTTCCTCCGTGTTTGAAAGTGAAATCTGCAGCTTTTTCAAATCGTTAGTAATAATATTGGATGTCAAAATTTTAATAGGGATCAAATGCTGCCGACAGACTGCTCATACTGACATTCTCTTAATTGCTCTACTTAATTGTATTTTTTAAGTTAGTGGCATGATTCCTAAAAATTGGCCGAACAAATTTTGATTCCTCTGATTGTTTATAGTCCACATTATTCCTTATATTATCTAAATGCCGTTCTTACGCGTGATTGTGGCTTTTTGTTTCCGCAAATAACATAACCGAATAATTTTGATAGCATTGGAATTTGACTGAATTATGAGAAATTATGATGATTGAAGTTAGTTTTATTATTTGCTCCTCACTCGAAATTCGTCAGTAGTATATGTAACGAACATTAATCGGAAAGGCGCATCCACGAAATATGCCACGTTTGTGACTTGGGGGTTAGTTGCACGGGGCTGAGCAGTCTCGCTTAGCGGTGGAAAGGACTGTTAACAGAACATATAGTCGCAAATGCTCACAAAAATGCTATCAATAAAAAACATATAAAAAAGGTACACAGAGCTCAGCTGATCTTCTCGTAGGGGAACTGCCATCAGAGAGACGATTTCCTCACATATCAGCTCAACTAGTTTCTATAATGATCATATCCCCACTTCGGCTGATGAGGATACACCATTGCTGATTATGCATACTCATTACCGGATGCGGTTTAGGACATCTGTTAGTGAGCTAGCGAGCTGTCGCGTGTAAAGGTCACTCATGACAATATAATCTAGATAATGACCTTAAAGCCCATTTGAAAATTTGAATAGCAACCACAATTCTTAACAGCAGGTTCATGTAGGGCTTGAGATTTTACATCAGACTGCAGTCAAGTGGTTATTTTTCTGAAAAATGTATCTAACAATAAATTGTTTCAGGATATCAAAAAAGCAATTCATCTAAAATCTCAAATATAGATAATTATCTCAGAGATCATTTGGAAGTCAAGCTTATAAATACAAATACCAATAACCATTTTGATAGCAGATTCGTGCAGAACTTGAAATTCTACATCAGAGTTAATACTACTGTCAAAAATGGTGGCTGCTATTTGAGTTCACAAACTTGACATCCAAACTACCTCTGAGGTAATTGTCTATGTTATCTTTCCTGGAACCATCCCAAAAAATACGAGGTTTCCCTGGTTTCGGTGTGTTCGTATACTTTTCAGACGTTACAGTAGGTCATACTCACTGGACCACTATCACTTATGATGACTTGATTTTATGTAGAGTCAGACTATACACCTACTAACTTCCAAATGAGGTCATCATCTAGGTAATATTTGAGGTCACCGACAAATTGCTTCTTTAGTATCCTGAAACTTTTGTCAAAACCTTTTTCCAAAATGCGTGGTTGCCAAGAATTAAAGGTGTATGGATATTTAGTGGACTTCCATATATAAAGTAATGAGTATTTATATTTATTACAACTAAACTACGTTCTAGCGTTCCTTGTATAAAAGAGTGCTATTTATTGATAAACCACGCAAATACAAAATGCAAACGAAATGAATTCTGCCAGAAGATTTCATAATATACATATGTACAAATATTATTCAGATGGCAATCTTATTTCTTATAATATTTTATTGCTTTATGGAAGAATATTGTTTTAATACCTGCCATTCAAAAGATTAATACAACTCTTGAAATAAAACTAGATAACAGCGAAAGTTCAAATAAATAGCACTGTATTAAAGAATGAGTAGTGTAATAAGTGTTTCTTGTAATTATTTATTCTGGAAATCCTATTCAGTTATGTATTAATAGTTGTTTCATGGAGTAATAAAATATGTAATAAACAACGATATATAAAACAACGTTTGAGGGTATTAGATTCTTGCTGCAAACTGAAAGGTTTATAATGACATTAAATAAGCTTGTAGTGCATGGTTACTGCTAGATGTATTGAAAGCTGAATAAAAACCCCACTTCAATTTACAAATCAACTTTGTGCATTAACGTCAAAGGTGGAATATCTGATGCACCGGTCTAAAGCCGCGTACAGACCAAAAATCCAACGCCCAGCAAACGAATTCAAGCACATGTGACGTTGGCGCTTGTTGTTGGAAGGTATTGGAATGTGCTCGTCTACACCTAAATTTAGATTCGAGTTGGGCCGCGTTGGGTTTTAAGTTCGGTGCTAATGTCGAGCGCCGAGTCTCCTCTCATCGAATGTAGACAAACAACTAAATACTAGAAGCACAACAAATCCTGTCCAGACCGAATCAAACCTCCCTTTGATGTACCGATCAAGGAGCGAACGCAATCGACCGCCAACGCCGACCTTGGAAACCGTTGGCTTATGTTGGCTCCCACCGTACACACATACGATACAGATACACTGAAGATAGGATGTTGCGCATGTGGGCGGAGTTGCGTGACGTCACCCAGAGAGTTGTCGGCTCGTGGTTACCAGTGACAGGATTGTCGTAACGTTGCTGCAGTGCACGTGTTTCGTGGTTAATTATATAGTGCGATTTGTTGGTGATTTTTGGTGGGTTTGTGACTTGTTGTATTAGTTATACATACTTTATATACCCTGTGATGTTAGTAAATTGATAAAAATGCGGTGTGCTGTTGTGGGATGTAATTCCGACAACTAATCTAAACGCAATCCTTGCAAAGACATGAAGTTCCACAATTTTCCTCAAGACCCAAACCTTAGCAAAAAATGGCTACATCATACAAAAAGAAAAATCAAATTCAATGTAAAAAGCGCTAGGGTTTTCTCGGAGTACTTTAGTGAAAGTGCCTATAAGGTCAATTTGAAACATACCCTTTTGGGTTACAGCTATAAAAGATATCGTGTTCTAAAAGATGATGCCATGGAAAATTTACACAAGTCTCTATCATCACCTGGACCACCTACATCTGTTGATGGGGAAAAGCGGAAAGGGCTCAACTTATCCCCTAGAGTTTAAGTATAGAATAAGGTCATATATTTTGGGGCGAAACGAAGGCGCATACAGTATTGCAGCGTAGAGGAAGAGGATACTCCGGACATTCCACTAACCGCATTATTAACGAATACACCTGAAGTATCAGCTGACTATAACGAGGAAGTTTTAGTGGAAGAAATAGATGAGCTCCAGTATGATGGGCTGAAAAATTTGGCCGGCTTTGTTTGCCATAAATTGCAGGATGAGACGTTGAAAAGTTCATCAAATGAAACTTATTCCTGGATAGACCGTCTTAGTGAGACCACAGCTTTCACGAATCAAATTAAGAAGCTTAATAAGGCTACATTCAATGGGGACGGAATAGTGACAGAAAAGCAAAATTTTATAGGCGAACTTCTGTTGAAGAGCAGCAACATTGACTGCCCTGAAAGATGCTAAGAAACTATTTTTCATTGCAAGGATGTTCTTCCGGATCAAAGAACTGAATAAAAGCTTGAAATACCAGAAATACCGTAAAAGGAAATGGAGAAAAAATGTGGCTTAGACTAAGTCATTTCCATTTATTGTTATACCGCCAGCTTACTGCAAAAAGATAACTCCATTTTTCTACTTTTCGAGTTGCGTACATTTTCACAGTTGCATGTAGTTAGTACTTAGAATGTTCTGTGAAATAAGGATGAATAAATGTAGTACAGTATTAACGTCATGAGTCATGATTATGAGCATGTTAATTCTGCTCCACAGAACATACTAAAATATAGGTAATGTAGAAAAATCTTGTTTTTACATTAAATTGACCATACACGCTCTATTGTGGAGCTCGAAAGCGGCTTAAGCCATAGTCTGTGAGATAGGAATTACAAGGTTGAAATCTTTTATTTAAAATCCGCCATTTTGTTTTGTATACAATTTTAATGAAGCCAGTGTCACTTGCACCGCTAAGACGAATTCAACGACACTTCATATGTGAAAATCTATCAAGCCGTTTGAGCTGTAGGTGAAAATATACACGTTATCCATATCAATCTAAATGAGAGTCACTCTCTGCGTGACGTCATGCGCGCCAGCGGACGAAAAGCGAACAGCGGAGCATCCGGCACTGGTACACGCCGATTCGAACACCTCCAAATATGTAACCACATGTGCCTTGGCTTGCGTTGGAATCTCGGTCTGTACACCGCTTTAAGCATCAGCGCTGCTTGTTTCAATTTACTTTGTCAAGATGCGCAATCCTCTGTAAATGTTTTGTTTAAGCAACGTGACGGATCATGTGTGTATATTATATGGCTCATCACTTTCATCGGTCAGAGTACGAGGAATATGGAATTTACTTTATTCAGGTTTTTAATTTATACCTTAAAAGGTATCTAGAGAAAAACATCTTTGATGAAACGCCTAGTGTCATTGTCTCGAAAAAGTATTTCAACTTCTCAGAAAAAGTAATACCAAGAGGCTTTGAGTAATGAGTATCATAATTATTAAGGTAGGTGTATTGATTTATTAATTTATCCTATTGATTTATTAATTTATCATAACATTTTGGGCCAAAAACATAGGGAAGAAATGTTTAAAAGTATTTGTCATCTCGTGTGTTTTTGCTTTCTGAATATTACATCAGATGATTCCAACCCATCAATTCGCAGCTATACCTGGTGCTTCAAATGTTTCCGAAACATTTAGCTTTACTATTTCAAAATAAATTGCACATTGATATTGTCACTTTTCTCTCACCAAGACAACGTGATTAGATTATTTTGTTACGAATACTGTAGGAATATATTGGAATTTTGCAGATAGTGAGAGATAGGCATAGAGTTTATTATTTTGATTTCAACATTTCAATGATGTATAATACTCGTATTACATATATCAATATTGTAAAACTACGATTACTAAAAGAACGTATTCTAAGTTCTACAAAGCTTTTTGAGATAACCTGGAGATATTAATGTATACCTATACGAGTATATCAAAATTCGGGGTCGGCAGGTTAGACTTGCAAGCAATGAGATAATAAGTACTTTATATGTAGTCTATTTGCCTTCAAAGTTCCATGTGGTCCATGGAGGACGGCAGACAAAAAGTGGCGAAACGTTCGACTGGAAATCGAATTTTGTCACCTGGTAAAGGTAAAAAGTTATAGATAAATATTTTGTTTGTTCAGAAATCATGATATAGGATAAGTCAAAGACGAGAAACTATATAGGTGTAGTATTAAAGTCTGCACGTGCATACATGTAAAATAGAGATGAAAACACACATTTATTTAAAAAAGAAACGTTGAAATTTAAGAGTATATAAGACATATACAATACATCCGATAAGCACGCAAAATGTATAAAAACACTGGATAGAAATTAAATAAATTAAAGCTATACACACATAACAATAAGATAGCTAACGGTAGACGACTGATTAAAATAGCACTGACAATGCTAAGTGGAATTTATTGGACGATTTGCTCCTTTTTTCCTCGCATCCATACAGAGATACTCTGCATTTTGAAACTTTCGGAGTGTCTTCTTTTAGTAACACGAACGAACATTTGAGAACACATTTAACCGACCACATAAGAGTATCTCTTGCCGGTATCATTGAAACATCTAGTATGACTGATCATTGAAAATGTAGAAAAAGCATCGCGTCATATTCATGTTAAGAAAGCGAAAATGCTTAGCATATTTTGTCGCCTGAATGCAGAAGTATTGTATGTCCAAATTCTTCATTTTTCGGATCTCAACACGACATTGTAGCTCATAGTCACCTACATTGCATACAGAGATATTGTAAGTCCCTGCGCAAGCATTCCCCCACCACTGGTCTTAAACGATATTTGGCGTAATAGCTTGAGGCACGTTACTTCGCTGCAGAACTATGGTAAGAGCAGATCCTACTTACAGAACTAATGTAAGTCCAATGTCATCAACATGTATAAGTTCACTTTCACGGACTTGTCATACTTTTTTTCCAGTAAACATTATATGTCCAAAATTTCTCAGAAGTGTTAGGCAAGTCCGCCAGTTGATTCTTGATTAATCAATATTGTTGTACTGCAAATTATTATTTTTTTTTCATATCGAAACAGCCGCGCAGGCAGAAGCCTAAATGATGATCCCAAAGAAATTTTGTTAATACGATTTTGGAACTGCCTAAGGTTAGTAGAACTGGGAAAAGCTTCCTCCCGTAGATTGTTCCACAATCTAGACACCCTCGGGACAAAGGAGCGGTCGTATCGGCCAGTTCTGGATGTACGAAGCTTGACACGGTTAAGATGGGACGCCGAAGTCAGGCGGGTCTGTCTGGCAGGCACATCGCGCGGCGGCATCATGGAAGAGAGCTCTGAGGAGCAAAGCCCGTTGGTGTAGAAGAATAGAAAAGAGCTAGATCGCCGACGGCCCGCCGGTGCGAAAGAGTCCCGAGACTCTCTGTTAGAGAAGAGGCATCGATCAGTAGGACCGCCCTCCTCTGGACAGCATCGAGCATGGACAATGTAGTCGGGGCGGCAGCACCCCAAATGTGTGAGCAATACTCGAGGCTAGGCCTTACCTGGGCCTTGTACAGAGTGAGAAGGTCATGCGGAGAAAAGTACTTCTTAGCCCTAAACAAATAGCCTAGCTTTTTCCCAGCAGCTGCAGCTATTGAAGAGATGTGTTCGTGCCAGATCAGGTCCTCGGTGATCTGGACTCCGACCAGCCGAAATAAATGGCTCTTTGGTAGAACTCGACCGTCCATCGAAACTGTATGAGCGCTAGGACGCTTTTTGTTCGTCAAAGTACAGTACTGTGTTTTGGAAGCATTGAACTGTACAAGATTGTTGCGTCCCCAAGCAGTGATAGCCTCCAGGTCTCTTGTCAGAGAAGAAGTCGTCGCTAGTCTTCTTTTTTCCAGCTCAGTGGCAGAGATCGGCTTGTCACTCAGAATTCCTGCATGTAGAGTGATATCATCGGCGAAGCTGTGGATTGGGTTGATCGTGCAGGAAAGGAGGTCGTTGATATGTAAGAGAAACAGTGTTGGAGCCAAGACCGATCCCTGGGGAACACCCGCGTTGACTTTGTGGGATGAAGAGGAGAATGCGTCAATTACGACGGATATCTCGCGGCTAGAGATAAAGTCAGCCACCCATCTGCAAAGCTTTTCTGGGAGGCCATAGGATGGAAGTTTGCTTAAGAGGGCAGCGTGCCACAGCTGATCGAACGCTTTCGTGATGTCAAGAGCAACGACATGAGCCTCACCATGAGACTGGATGAGTTTACTCCACAGTTGCGTGACGTAAGCTAGGAGGTCCCCTGTGGATCGTTGGTGCCGGAAACCATACTGCCTGTCGCTAATCAAGCCGTGACGTTCAAGGTAGTCCAGAAGCTCGCGATTTATGCACCTCCCCATCACTTTACTTATAACAGAAAGCAGAGCTATAGGCCTATAGTTGTAAGGGTCGGTCTTAGATCCTTTTTTTGGGATGGGCTGTGCATGAGCAAATTTCCAGTTTTCTGGGAAGGTGCCGGATTCATAAGATATCTGGAAGAGACGCGAAAGAACTGGAGCAAGCTCCGCTGCACATCTCTTCAGTACAATGGCAGGAATCAAGTCCGGACCAGAAGCTTTGTTGATGTCGAGCGACAAGAGCACTCGTCTTACGGTCTTATGCCTGAATGTTACCTCCCGCATAGTGTGGGGAACCCTTTGAATTGACGGCACTTGGGCGTTGGTGGGGACGTCCATGGTGAAGTTGGCAGCAAAGATCTTGGCTAGCACTTCCGCCTTGGCCTTTGAGTCGATTACAATAGTTCCATCCTGACACGTAAGTGGTGGAAGGCTACTGTGTGAGAAGTTCTTTTCAATCTGCTTAGCCAGCATCCAGAAAGACCGACTGCCATTGCGCTGCGACATTACCCTGTGCCTAACTTTTATATCATGCTGGTTTTTGGCATTGCGAACCGCTTCGTTATATTTGTTTCTGGACTCGACGTCGGCTTGTCTGTTCTCTACAGTGGGGTTTTGTAAGTAGGTTCTGTGAGCCTTGATCTTCTGCTGGCGAGCAGTGTCACACGATTTGTTGAACCAGCCGTTGGACCCTGGTTTAGGAACTTTCACTGTGTGAGGAATGTATTCCTACATTCCGACGTGGATAATTTCGGTTATTGAAGAACAGACGGTCGACGCATCCGCGTCAGTGAAACAGACATCTCTCCAAGGAAAGCTAGAGAAGAAGTCTCTGAGCCCCTCCCAGTCGGCATGTCCGTAATGCCAAGTTTTGCGGCCTGTGCGAGTTTCTGCTGCCACAGCGGCTTCTGACCGAAACCTAACCTCCACAACACCGTGATCTGAGTTACCCAGGGGTGACAGGACAGCAGTGCTGTAAGGGGCAGGATGCGTGGTCAGAAAGAGATCCAGCAGACTACTGGCGTGTGACGAGACGCGGGGGAAAAAAGTAGGGCTCGTCACCAGCTGGGTCAGCCCTTGAGTAAGAGCGAACGCTTCGACTGCACGACCTGCTGCATCGGTCTTATTTGAGCCCAACCAAAGCTCATTATGGGCATTGAAATCACCGAGAAGGACTACCTCTGAAGCGGGGTGATTGATGTTCAGGAAGTCGATCTGGACGGCGAGGTATCCGAGTAGGTCATCCCAGTCATGGTTCGAGGGAGAGCGATAAATGCACCGCTATATTTAAAAAAATTGTAATGGATTCCCTTCAAGCACGAAAAATAGCTCTAATGTAAAATTTACATTTTGTGACTTAGAATACTTCTGTATTCAAGCGACGAATATTTTCTCAAGTGTGATAGGCTGTGTATGCGTAGAAGTTAATAATCTGATAGACCGCCACGATTGTGGGTCACTAAAAATGTAATTATCTGTTTATGTGTTTATTTTTCCTACCAACACGCTTTTACTTCAAGCACTATTATGAAAATTTTCTGCATGTCTTGAAGTACCATTCTACCTAATTAGACCTGCGTAGGTTCAAAATGTTATATTTTTATCAAAGACGTAAAAGACAAGATTGATGAATATGAAGTATTCTACATATACCGGGTGTCTCAAATTCGACTCTCATCCTTGGTATCTCGGAAATGATACAAGATACTGAAAATGTGGACCTAGCAACAGCGCTCAGGTCCATACAGCGGATTCTTAGTTCCCTGATAAGCGCCTCTCAGGCATTGCAGGCGATCTTTCCGCTAAATGGCTAGGTACAATAGCAGACAGCCCGCATTCATCAAAATTCTTTTCTGGAATTGTCTGGGTCTTAGGGATGTCCCCCAAAAAAAGGAAATTCATCAAGCTCTTTTGGATGAAAGCGTAGATGTAGCTCTGCTGCAGGAAACATTGCTTAATCCGGGAAATGTCTAGCTTTCCCGAATTATGATGTTATCCGCGCTGATAGATTAACTGGACGGGGTGACGGTTTGGCAGAGCTAACGGTATAAGACAACGCTGAGATGCAGCTTCCGTGGTAGTGAATATGACGGGAGGTATCTCGTTAAAAATTACATCGGTTTATGTGAGGTGTGATGCCAGGCTGCAAAAGACGGATCTGGAAGTCCTGTTCGACTGCTCAGGTCCGCTTATTGTAGCAGGGGACTTCAACTATAAACATCGAGCATGGCACTCTAGGTTAAATTCCACCAGTGGGATTCGACTTTACAACCATGTTATACGAAACGGCTACCTCATACACAGCACTGAGGAGCCGACTCACCACCCATTTAATCACCTTCAGGCACCTGATGTCATTGACTTCGCGATAACTTGAAACTGTATGTACAATGTCACTTCTCGAATCATGTATGACATTTCGAGCGATCATCTTCCTATCGTACTGGAAGTGGGTAATGAGCAAACCTTGGAAGGGGAAACTCCTCCAAGGAAAAGGGTTGATTGGGAGCTATACAAGTCGCTCCTTAGAGACTTCCCCAATATCCCGAACATAGATGATGAGAACGATATAGATGCTGCTCAAGCGGAGTGGACAAGTTCCGTTCAGCAAGCTCTGCAGCATGCAGCTGTACTACCAGTACAACGACACGGCAGACCTTTTCTCCCTGCAGACATTCGTCAGAAAAGTTCTGACAAAAGAGCTGCAATTAAGCAAGCGAAGAGGTCTGGTCACCCAGAAGACATTCACAGAGCAACGAATCTTGTTCATGAACTGAGAAATGCTCTTCATGAATTCCGTAATGAGCAATAGAGCGACTTTCTGTCGGGGATGCCTGCCTCAAGTATTCCTCTCTGGAAAGTTGGAAAGTCGCTCAGAAACGGAAAGCGAGAACAACTACCGCACATCCAAGGTCCTAGGGGCATAGTCTGTAGGACAGAGGAAAAGGTCGAGGTTTTCGCTGATGCAATGGAAAGTCAGTTCTCTCTCAACTATGACCTTGATAATGACCTCGATGAGGAGCAACATATTGTAAGGTCCGTCAGGAGATATTTTAGGGCCAACGGCGTCAGTGGCAGTAGTGCCTCCCTTAGTGACTTTTCCTCAGAGGAATCATCAGAAGATTCCTCAACTGAAAAGCTGCATGGCACATCAGCGGAATCTCCTGAGACTTCGCAATGCACACCAGCAGAGCTCCAAGGTCATATTAAAGACCTCAAGGTGCATAAAGCACCTGGAGAGGATCGAATCACCAATAAGGCGCTGAAGCTACTTTCGCGGAAGTCCTTAACTTACCTCGTGGCAATAATCAATGCCATGCTAAGGACCCAGCACTTTCCAACGGCGTGGAAGACCGCTGATGTCATAATGATTCCAAAGAAGGTGGGTTCGATATTCCCCCAGGATTATCGCCCAATTAGTCTACTGTCAGCTCCTTCTAAGCTCGCTGAAAAAATGATTCTACGTCACCTTGAAAATTTCTCGGCAGACCACAATGTGACTCCTGACGTGCAATTTGGCTTTCGGTCTGAGCATAGTACGGAGTTACAGGCCATAAGGCTTGTTGAACGAGTAACCCGTAACGAAAGTACTGGCATCTTGCTTCTGGATGTCTCAAAGGCATTTGACAAGGTGTGGCACAAGGGCCTTCTCTACAATTGATCCATAAGGGCTCTCCCTTCTGGCTCCTAAATCTTTTGAAATCCTTCCTCGAGGGTAGTAAATTTCGGATAAAAATTAATAACGTTCTGTCGACAACGCGGCCCATCAAACCCGGCGTCCCTCAGGGTTCGGTTCTTGGACCAGTCCTTTAATGACTTTTTATTCATGACGTCCCTTGCCTCAGCAACTGTGAACTCTATTTCTGTGCTGATGACACTGCCCTGGTGGTCCAGGAGTGCTCTGTGGATCTAGTTCACGACATTCTGCAAAGTGCAGTGGACGAGGTATTGGAATGGGCGAATCGGTAGCTGATCAAAATTAATCATTCGAAAACGCAGACAATCTACTGTACTAAAAAACGTAGCGGCGCCCCGTCTGAGGTTTCAGTGAATGGAGCTCAGGTACCATGGAAAGCTCTGCTAAGTATCTCGGTGTCACTCTTGACAATGAATGACCTGGCAGAAGCACACTGAAGCGTTAAAAACTAAATTCCAAATCTCGTTTCGGCAACTCTTCCCTATGCTATGTACTCGTAGAACATCAAAATTAAGTTTGATCAACAAAGTTCGGCTATACAAGATGGTTATTAGATCAGCGGTCACTTACGCAAGTCCGCCTTGGTGTTTTCTCTCCAAAACGCATTTGGGTAGCCTGCAGGTTTTGCAGAACAGAACCTTGCGTACAATCGCTAACGCCCCATGGTATGTTTCCAACGAGACCCTTCACAGAGACCTTGACATCCCTTACCTAAAGGACTACATCAATCAACAAGCGCAGCTACGTTATAGTCAAGCGGAATCGCATAACAACCCTTTGTTGCGCGAGTTAGTAGACTACACAGTCGAGCAAGTTCGCAAGCACACAAGGCCACGACTCGCACTGTGAACAAAATTAAATCGTGCGACTTTAGGTCCAACCAAAATTATAATTTTTCTTCAACAACCAATCCCAAAATTAATTTTAGGACCAATTTAAAATTGCCGAATACTAATTAGCAATGCCAAGGCACCCCTCAAATTGACGCATTTCTTCTTTCTTTGCTCTCCCTCCTTCCTTACTTTCTTCTTCCCTTCTTTCTCCCTGACTTTGGTATCTGGGCAACCAGACCTGCCAGACCTACTGACTTACAAGACTTCAACCAAGAGTAAAGGTCCTACGGACCGCTCTGACAGACAATGACGAATAGAATGATACGAGATACGAACTAGGTAACTGAGAAAGTGGCACCTAGACAGTTCGTAATTCCGAGTAATTCCGCATGTAGATGAAAGAAACCTAATTTTCCCAAAATGCTTATAAAAATTATAAAAAAACCTGGTTTTATGTGAAATAGGATAGGAAGTTACCAACTTTACGTTTTCTCATAGACGCTATATTGGATTCTTGCACAGATGAACGGAGCTGTCGTACATTCACATACTCAGACATGGGTTATTTAAAAAAAAACTAGTATTTTCATAGTAGCTTTGAAAATGACTGTAAATCACATGTTTATCCAACTAAATTACCAACGCTTCAATTTCTGAGAAGCGTTTTTAAAGGACATTCAGATAATTTGCCCATTTATCGGCTATATCAAGCGTTATTTTAGCATGGCAGAGGTTCTCTACATGACATCTTAGCTGTAGATTAATAGTATTTTAATGTATGTACATCGGTTTAGATATGGAGAATATGAAATGAATTCAGGAAGCTCGCCGTCACTTTACCCAGTTTTTCTATCAGTTACATAAAATAACTAAGGTATAGGAAGATTCCGTTTTTAGATGTTCGAAGTTTCATAACACCAATCTATGTCATTAAAATGGAACTAAAATACTTGGCTGATGATATTGTGAAATAAATAACTATCTGATCATTTCAGGCTTACTTGAATAGTTTTTTTTTAAGTAAGGTTTAGCAATATGACATATACATTTTTGAAGTCAGAATTAAGAATTCTATTCATGTGTGCAAAAATGCAATATGAAAATTAAGCTGATGATTGAGGACAAGGGACGAAACGTGATAGTAAAATTTGAATTATTCCATCTTGTAGAAGAAAAAAGTGACCAAGGTAGTGTACTTTCTATTTTGAAATCCCGTTCCAAATAAAGCCAGAAAAAAAATGAAGACCATCTTAGGAAAATTCGGTTTCTTTCGTCAATCTTCGGCAATAATCGGAATTGAGATACTTTTCAAGTGCCATTTTCTTAGTTACCTATATGTTCCCAATTAATCGATTTCGTATCTTACCTTTTCCGAGATCACAATGATGGTGAGTCGAATATAAAATACCCGATGTATTGTAGGATTTCATAAACAAAAATATAATTAAAAATATATAACATTGTACAAATGTTCAGTTGCGGTAACTGGATTTTCTTTATAGTGATTAGAAAAACAAGTAACTTCTTCATAAGCCCGTAATCATTTTATCTGTAAAGTGTCACCATTAAACAATATGTTCTTGTATGAGAATGAGGAAACCTAGTGTATCACAACCGATTCCATTTGCACATTATAAAGTCTTTGAATAAAATTTGAAGTCAAACTTCACTGAGTTTTATTGGAAAATAAAGATTATGAGTAACGGTTACTTATACACGGTGCAACAGGCCAAGGGTGCTGAAGCCGATCCTTCACACCCCCATCCAAGGGTTCCGTCTTCGAGTCAGAGAGCACAGAATTCGTTTCACCTTTTAATAAAAACCCTCCTACGAAAAATACAACTACAAAGGCAATAAATCGAATCTCACAAAGGTGGGACTGCAAAACACCACTCGAAATAACTCAAATACTTTATACTTGTCTACTTAAGACCCCGGAACTTAACTCCGGCACGAGTATTACGAATCTTGAAAAGTGACATTTTGTCGTTTTTTTTCAACATTGTATAGGTTTTTTGTGACATAACGTAGGTTTTTCTGCCAGATTTCAACTTAGCACTAGCCGTTCTACTCTTGTGAACTCGTTTTGCAGCTGTACATGCTGCCTAAACGTCATGATGTTTCAGCTATTAATGTTTGACTCTGATGTGATGTAACATCTGCTTCAGAGATGGCGTTATTGGAGGCCTAAGCTGCAAGCTATATACTATAGCTGGAAGGAAACAACAGTGCATAGAGAGGATTTATGCGCTAATAATAGTCTGTATTGATAATACCTTTGGTTTCTTGTCTCAAATACACTTACTTGAGATGTATTCAGAAATTAGTTGCGCATCCAGTTTTTGTTATTCATTCTAAAAATTACATAAGGAAATTTCCTGAATTTCAAAAATGAGAGAGATAAGAAAAGAAAATCCCTGGTTGGTGAAGTATATTACAAGTAACAGGTGAGAAAATGTGCTACAGACAGGAATATTTATGAAATGTAAAAAAGTGATTACATTACTTTTAATTTGCAGTCATTTAAATTTTATAGAAATTTATTTTGCAACGCCAGTAGAAAATACAACTCAGCGCTTAGATGTGAGGCACTGCGGAAATGTTTGATGTGTGATGGGTCATTCCTATTTTTTCTTTGATGTGGTTTTGAAGGTAAGTGAATATACGTATGTTTATTTTTTAAAATAAATCATTAGATTTCTTTTTATAATTTCCCATTGTCCTCTTACAGGATCACAACTTTTTGTTAATATGAAATCAATTTCAAATTTTCTAGCCAAATGACTGGCAGATGTTATAACGTGTCATCTGTCACTAATATCAACATCTTGTCGCCTGTATTGTATTAGGTTTCTTGATCTCTGCGCTTCGCTGTCTTGTTAAAGTAATAATAATAGTAATAATTAATAGTATAACTTGTAATACCGTTTCTGGTTTTTGTCATTTGTGTTTGTGCTCGTGCAGTGAAAGCTAAAGGGGTTTCATATGATTTAGTGCATGAAGTTTCTGAAATACACCATAATGGAATTATTTTCAATAGTAAATGTGTTTTTAACTTAATATGATATGTGATACTCCTAATGAGTCAAATATCTTGAGTATCAAGAGTCATACAGGGTTCTTCAGCTACACCAGGTGTACCTTAGAAGGGGATTTTCAAAATACTGTATTTTAGCTGAGATAAAATTTTACAAAAGGAACTATGATTCTTTTCCAAATAGGTCACAAATCTGCCAGACAATGTTCAAACCCGTTAACACAATGGTGTACCTATTGCAGCAGCGCATAATTATCCATAGTATAAAGCTATACAATTTCAAAGTTATCTGTTCAGTTGTTCCAAACTAGCACGCATTTCTTATGTCGGCAAACTTCAAAATTACCAAAATAAACAAGTTTGGAAGCACAGCCGTTATGGGTTATACCTACAGGAATATTAATCCATTTTTAACAGAACCTGCTGATTCAAGAAAAAAAAACATGTATTCGCATACCTTTAGTGGATCTCAATTAATAAATTTCAATTATATAAAAAAATACACACTATAGGTCATATTCGGAGAAAACTTGAAGAAAAAATAACTTCAAACATGGACAGATTCAGAAACAGGCATAGAAATGTTGGAAGAAGTGCTTTGAAGAGGATGCCATTAATTCACAAACTATATTGAATGACAAAAACGTTGGCTACAAAACAGCATTTGTAACAAAAGCTATAACACAAAACTTATAACGTAAAAAATAGTAGTTTTAATAAAAATATCTATAAACGTATTTTTACAAACAATAAAATATGCTAAAGAAGCTCAGACTTGATGTACTGTGTGGCATTCCAGTATCTTTTTCGACAGTTCCTACGCATTTCTTATCCAGTGTATTAATTGAAGCTAAAGCAGATGTTAACCATGTTTATATCAAAATTCATACAAGCCATCTAACCTTTGCCTCAAATTTTATAATCTGTAATACAATGTTGCATTTTATACATCACATGAAGAATATATCAGGCAGGATGATGAAGCTTAAACAATGTTAGTACTCAGCGAGGTTTGGAAAATCTGATCAATCATGTCAAAATACTTTCTTCGCCATATTTGTTTATTATATTTAGTACAAAGTACAATCTGTAACATTTTACGAACGCAGCTCTGAGTGGAGAAACTCATATGAGAGAATGGGAAACAATACGGTGTTGCTGGTGCTCAATATTTGTCGCACCCTCAAAAAATGGTGTTTTGTTTTTGAGAAACCATCATTAACTTTTATTTTTTTAAAATTTTATAAAATGATGCTCAATCTAGTGATATTCAGAATAACGAATACATTTTCAACATTATTTTTATTTTATTCACAATAGGTGTTCAAATAGGTTCCCATTATTTTCTAAAAATAAATATGATCTTCTAACAGTTGAATTCAAACCATCAAGTAACATTTAATTTTGGTGTAATCATACTAAATGCTTCCATTACACATTCTTGAACCGAAAGGTCTATGGAAAGAACTGGGGTATGAAGCTTAAGCAAATGTTTTGGCTTTATACCATGGCCATTAGACATGAACAGGCTGGGCATGGCGGAGGACGCCGAGTGCAGACTGTGCATGGAAGGAGATGAAACGGTCAGGCATGTATTGTGCAGATGCCCTGCAATAGCCACAATCAGGTACAATATACGTGGAGTTGTAGTACTCCAAGCAGAAGACCTGAAGGATATTTCTCCAAACAAGTTGATCGACTTTCTCAGGTGGTCGGAGCTACTGAGGGAAATATAAATAGGTGTGAGCCACAATAGACCAAAGAGTCGCAGTGGAGGATCGTTATTGATGCACTCACATGAAACCTAATCCCAACCCCTAACATTGTCGTAACTGCCGCTCAGTTTCAAAAGTATGCTGATAAACGAGCTAGCCAGTAAAATGTAAATTATCCAGGCAGTCTTCTAAATCATTTTGCAACAATTGGAGGTACCGTTCTGCAGTGAGTTATGGTAAATAACTGGACCTAATATTTTAGTCCCTGGAGTTCCATACCACAAAGGGGAGTTTTGGCAAAGTGGCCACTGGGTGCAAAGTGGCTTACATCAAAATTTCCTACATGCTACTGACATCTATGAGTGCTCCTATGTACAGCCCTTCCTCTCTGGATGTACAATCAATCAGTCGAGTTGGAACTGCTCTCAAGCACGCACGCGGTTTTATATAGTGAGTGAAAAATTTAGAGCCACTTGTTTATAATATTCAGAGATAAGTAAATTAGAGGCATCGATTAAAGTTGATATGATTTGTTTGATATTACATATTTTTTTAATAAGATTTCGTATTTAGTAAGCCTCTCTGTACGAGCAGTGGAATAAAAAACAAAGGTAATATCTTTTATTGTTGATAAATTGTTCGATGTATGTTGGGGTAAAGTGGTTTTCCAACTGCGGGGCAAAGTGGTCACGGAAGCCACTTTACCCCATAGCATGAAATCATTGTGCGAACTTGATGCAGGGAATAAAAGTAGAGAAATTCTTGATTTAGCTGCGGGTTTGTAAATCCCAGACGTAGGTAAAGTAGAAAAATAATCAAAATAATTTCCTTTTTTACAGAATTGTCGCAATGGTGCGTAACTATACGGAAGAGCCAGCAGCACTCTTGGTCAGAGGAACGTATGGCAGCAGCAATACAAGACGTTATACACGGGATACTTTCCGCAAAAAAGGCAGCAGCACAATACCACGTTCCTTTAACAACACTTCGGAGACGATTAAGTTCTACCAACGAACCCAATGCAGCAGCTAGAAAATTGTTAGGTCGATTTAGACCGGTTTTTTTTTGGCAGAACAAGAGAAGGAGCTGGCCGATTATATCTTAGAGATGGAAAGTAGGCTTTTTGGTCTTGGCACGAGGGAGTTAAGGCACCTGCCTTCCAATTTGCGGAAAAAAAAACATATTGCACACATCTTTAATGCAGCTAAAGGACTTGCAGGGCGTGATTGGATCTATGGATTTCTAAAAAGAAATCAATATATTTCTTTGAGGCTTCCAGAATACACCTCGGCAGCTAGGGCTTCATCATTTAATAAATACAACGTTAATTCATTTTCTACTCTATTGGGAGAAATGCTCCAAAAATACAAATTCCCAGCCAGTAGAATTTTCAGCTGCGACGAAACGGGTATCTCTACGGTACCAAATAGGCACTCAAGAATATTCTCCATGAAAGGAAAAAAACAGGTGGGCAGTCTTTCTTCCGCTAAAAGAGGCACTCCAACAACTGCCGAAATTTGTTTCAACGCCACTCGATTTTACATCCCTCCCCTCCTGATCTTTCCAAGAGTTAGAAAATGTCCACCACTCGAGCAAGCACTTCCTCCAGAATCAATCGTGGATATCATCCATCAGGGTGGATGCAAAGTGAAATATTTTCAGAGGCTTGGTTTGAACACTTTCTAAACTATTCCAAACCTACCGAGACTGATCCTGTTTTACTAGTCTTAGACGGGCATGCCACCCACACAAAGAATCTATCGTTTTTCGAGAAAGCAAGGGCAAATCACGTGCACATTATTGTGATACCACCACACACATCTCACCGTCTACAACCCTTGGATGTAGCCTTCATGTTTCCACTAAATTCATACTACCAACAAGAAACAAAAAAATGGCTTATTAATAGCCCTGGAAAGGTAATAACTTTGTATCAAGTCGGAGAGCTTTTTGGAAATGCTTTTAAACGCGCCGCAACAACACAAAATGCTATCAATGGTTTCAAAGCGACGGGGATTTATTAACCCTGATGTATTTCCAAAAGATGCATTTAAATCGGCAGATGCCACAGATAGAGCTCTCAATGAAGACCGCCCAATGACTCCGCAACCCCTACTACAACAGAATAACCAACAAATCAATTACTCTCCACAACCAGGTCCCTCTAGCGCTAGAACACCATCTCCTGTTAGAAACGCAGAGCCTACAGTCCCTATTCTTAGTGAAAGTAATATTTACTACTCACCTAAAGATATTTTCTCATTACCAAACGCAGGCGAAGCAAGAGCTCCAGAACGAAAAATGAGAAAAGGAAAAACTATGGTGCTCACTTCAAGCCCTAATCATAAAGAACTAAAAAAAGCAGCAAATAAAACCCAAATATCTAAAGCAAAGAAAAAAATGATCAAAAAAGATTTGATGGCAGGGGAAAAAACATTGACTGCGAAAGAAAGAAACATAGAAGAAGTAACATCTTCGGATAGCTCACTTGAAGTGAATTCTTCTTGCGATTCGGACAATAGCGATATAGAATTTTCTCCTAAACCCAACGAATTTAACATAGAAGCTATTTAAGTTGAAAACCTCAATGCAGATGATTTTATTTTGACAGAATCAACATCTGACAAAATGAGAAAAAAACGTGTTGTTGCTCAAATAATAAGCATTGAAAAGATTCCAGAAACTAAGATCAATGTGTCTTTTTGGCGTCAATATCGGCAGTCGAAAGACATTTATGTTTTTCCTGAAGTTAAGAATTTTAGTGAAGTTTTAAAAGAAGAAATTTCGTGGAAAATTAGAGTTCAGTCTCTAAGGTATGGCAAAATACGGGTCTTTTAAAGCTCGACTGAATAGTTCTGTTTAGTTTTAGTAGTTCTTCAATATTAGGGACGTTACCAAAACCTTTTTTGTATAACGAAATTCACTAGATTATAATTTTGTTCATTTTTCTGCTACGAACTTTTTTCCTTTCAATAAACTATGTTTGTGTCATTTTTTGGATGATTGGTACTTTATTCTATGTAGTTTATTTTTTCACCCTGAAAGTGTTAATAAAAATTCTATTCATCGAAGTCTTATTTACTTTTTAAATAGTGTCCACTTTACCCCTATACACATATCCACTTTACCCCATACTTGGGGCAAAGTGGATAATTTATAGCAACGTATTTTTTCTATTTTTTTTTTCGTAGCACTTATTTACACCATTTAAAATAATAAAGTTCTTTCACGAATAAAGCGATTGGCATGGTTGCGCGTCTCATTCTAATTTTCTATAAAGCATTTTTGGTATTTTGAAGTTAAGGTAGCCACTTTGCCCCAAACTCCCCTACTGAACCTAAAACTTTCTTGATGTCTGGACACTTTTTTAGTCCGCAGATTTTCTTGAACTCAGTAATAAGTATTGCGGCGACTAAAGATACTATTATTAGTGATCTCGTTTTTGAAGTTAAATTCAAATCTGCACACGTTGGTGTGTACCACTTACACAATGCTGGCACCGTTCGCTAATCCCCTGGCCTAAGTCCTTGGCAAATCCTGAATTTATAGGGGTGATATCTATTTTTGCGCAAAATCAATTGGGCTGTGGATGTGACTACTTCTACATGTTTCTCAATTAGCTTAGTTGATAATCTCATAATTCTCAGCAACTGCATGTAAAACACTATTCTGAGTTTCCTCTGGTGATTACTTTTTCGAGACATAATAGACTTTTTGAATGAACCATATCCATTTAAATGTGTATGCCTTCTTTCGGGAATCTATTAAGATACATTTCTGCAGTATTTTTAGTATTTTTATAGCACAAAATGTAGCCCGTCGAACTCTTTTCGTTGCTGAAGTGACCGCCTGGCATCTTTAACGATCATAAAGCAATATTAACAATACAAAATAATAAAAATACTCGGTGATAGGCAAAAAAAGAAAAAAATAACCAACTCATTTTCCTTTTAACCAGCGAATTGTTACATGCGATACATTATTCAATTCGTATAAAAAATACTATTAGTTACAGGGCTGATTTTTTTCGGACCATATATAAAATAAAGTTGACGGTTTCTCAAAAACTAACCGTCGGGCACAAAATTTAAAAACACCATTATGTAGTACATAAAAAGTACCAATGAAAAAGTTCCATTAGTTTATTGATATTTCTTAAAATAAAGTCAGAAAAATAAAAACGTTTTGGCCAAATTTTCGTTTTTCCCAAACATGTCAGTAAGCCACGAAATTTTCAAGTTACTCAACGACATGTAAATACGCACCAAAGAACGTTTTCCTAATTTAACTTAAGCTGTATCTCCCACAGGTATTGAGATCCCCATGCATAGGCTCCTTCCTTATCTTGGACACCCTGTATGATTTGTGTTATTTTAGCCTATAGGTTGCGATTGTATCTATAGGTCTTAATCCGCGAAGGTGACCCCCGATAGCACGAAATATTCATTAAATATTCATTTAATATTTAACAATATATTTATCTTACTTAAATATTTGTTTTCTTAAACAAATATACATATAAAATATAATATTTTGATTAAATATTTATTCAATATCTTTTAAATATTTTAAATACGATATTTCTTTTATAATATTCATTAAATATTTACTTTTCAATCAATGGAAAATATTATATCTCCAATATTTAGAAAATATTCATTAAATATTTTCGGCTACGGCGCATGTGAGTGAGACCTCGAGCGACCAATGGGATAATAGCAAGCCAGCCTGAGGCGACCCGTTTGCCGGCATCCATTTTACCTGTGACTTTCACTATCATAGCGTTCTTCCTGTGTGCCTCCAAGTGGTTCATTATTTGAGTGTTTTTTTTGTGGAAAAGGGAAAAGTGTAAGTTTTCCGATAATTACATAGCTTAATTTATCTGACTAGTAAACATTATTGTGCCAGCTGAGTATAAAGGTATTCACAAGACCATAAATAACTAGCCTTGAAGTGTAACAGTTATTTGGTATTGGTAGATTTATCTGAGAATGGATACGAAAATTATATTCATTACATCCCAATGAAGACATATAATCGCAACTTGATCGAGATACATCAAAAATGCTTTTTTAAAATATCTCAATTATTATTATTATTTTGTCGTAGTACGTTCATAAATTAACAGTCGAAAATGTCCCTTGAATTATAATATAAAATCACAAAATAGTTATAGCTAAGTTAGCTAAAAAAGAGTCACATTTCAACAAAATCAATAAGTGGTCTCAAAATGAGACTAATAGCAAAAATGTTATGACCGAAAAACGAGGCAAAATGCAGGTTTTGACACTAGTTGGTAATGAGACGTTAATTTCACGCAACTACTTAAAATTCTTCAAATCCGTAGGATTCATACTTCCAAATAATAGCAACGAAATTGGAGTATGTTGGTCGAGTAATTTTCTGAGAATTGTTTATCTCAAAGCACCTGTTTTCCGGCCATCACTATTGAGCAATATACAGGGTTCGTTCAAAGAGCATGTAATAGCAAAATACACGTGTTTACCTTTTCGATGTAATTTACAAACCATTCAGAAAGGTAAATGTTATTTTTATATTTCTTCTAAACAAATTCAAACATTTCGTATTTGCGAGTAATTCAACAAATGTGCTACGATATTCGAAAACATGCGTTGCTATACACATTTTAAAACAAAGCGGATGTGTCTACCGTCTTTGTTGCGAATTACTCACAAATACGAAATGTTTGAGTTTGCTTTCAAGAAAAAACGTGACCCATCCTTTTTTGCATAAAAATAACATTTATCTTCCGTACGGTTTGTCATTCATATTGGCAAGGTAAACTAGTGTATTTTGCTATAAAATGCCCTTTGAACTGACCCTGTATATTGGTCAATAAACTAGTAGTGATGGCCGGAAAACAGGTGTTTTGGAAAAACCAATTATAAATTCTCAAAAACTACTTGACCAATCTACTCCAATTTTGTTGTGGTTATTTATATAAGTACGAACCCTACTAATTTGAAGAATTTCTGCGAGAAACCATCGTGGCATTACCAACTAGTGCCAACTGCAGTTTGCCTCGGTTTTCGGCCATAACTTGTTTGCTATTAGTCTGATCTTTTTACGTGTGGTCTCATTTTGTAGGTCTTATAAAGACCTAAAAATCTTATATGAAGAGTTTTTTCGTTCCTGCCAACACTTTCGATTGAATCCCAAAAAACATGTTTTCTCTATGTTGTCTAATAAAAAGTTTTCCCTCAAAAAATGTTGTACCCATTTTATGTGTCCATGTTTTGAATACCCCCTTGCAGCAATGAAACCAGACTCTACAATTATTTCGCAAACCAGGGGTATTTTCGCCTAATATGATTAGACTATTACACAAAGAAACGACCGCGCACAGAGGCAGTGTGACCCGCACGGGTATTACGTATGTTCAAAAGTGACATTATGTCGATTTTTTTGACATTGCATTGCATTGTATTGCACAGATAGGTGTACGATCAGGCTTAGCTAAAAAGCTCAAGGAAAAAAATCCCGCAATGGTCAGTACACATTGTGTTATTCGACGGCAAGCTTTGGCTTCCAAAACATTGCCACAGAAATTACGCCAGACTTTGGACTCGGCTATAAAGATTGTAAACTACATCAAGAGCAGCGCTTTGAACAGTCAGTCGGTTATTTACTTTACTTTGCGAGGATCTCGATTCTGATCACAAAGTTCTGTTCCATACAGAAGTACGCTGGTTCTCCAAAGGCAACACGTTGGCTCGCCTTTATGAATTCTTTTTCTTGAGTTAACAAAAAAACACGATTTATTGACAATGTGCAAAGATGACACATTTCAATGGAGGTTAGCTTATTTAACTGACATATTTGACAAATTTGACTCCTGGGATGAGCTAAACTTGAAACTTCAGGGCAGAAACAACACTATAATAAGCAATTATGATTATATTCAGGGGTTCATATCAAACCTTTGGAATCAAAAAGTGTCTTCTGAAAATGTTATATCTTTTTCTCGGCTGTTCGAAGCAATTAAAAATAACATACTGGACGAAAATTTAAAAGCTGATATAAAAACTCATTTGCAAGCGCAAGAAGACGAATTTCGCCGATACTATCGAGACATTGATTCAGAGTCACCAATATGGCACATGACCAGAAATCCATTTGTTGTCGATGTGTCACAATTACCAGAAGTTCAGGAAGGCGTATTTGTCCATGAAAGATGACTTCCATCTTTTAACATTGGAGAAATTTTGGATCAAAAGATTGCCTGTTAATTCGACACTTGCCTCTCTTGCTTTACGAATACTAGTTCATTTTTCTTCAACTTACTATATTATGTGAGACAGATTTTTCTGCTACAGTTTTAATTAAAACTAAACAACGAAATCGTCTTGATGTCGATAGCGACCTGATGATAGCTCTGGAAAAACAGAACCTAGAATCAACCAACTGGTACAGAACATGCAATCTCAAGTGTCTCATTAGTACCTACTCTTATTTTATTCAAATAAAAACACATGTTAATTTATACATTTATTAATTGAATTTAAATTAAAACTACTCAAAATAAAATTTTGTATCTGTTATGTAAAATATACGTAAGATTAAATGACTGATACCAATAAGTGCCCGCATTGGGAATAAGTGCCCGCATTGAAAAAAAAATAAGAGGGATAAAATAAAAAAAAATAAAAATAATAAAAAAAAAGTGTTTTACTTAAAATAGTCCAATAAGCGAGTTCGTTTATTAATTATAACATAAATGTATGTTCTACAACAATTTCACTGTTAGTTTGATTAAATTCTTATACGTTTAAGTTATCTAAAAATAGGCAAAAAATTAACAAATTTTAGTGTGTACCTATCCTTGAATTTTCAGAATAATTTAAAAAAAATATTTTCGATAAAGGGGGGTTCTTTAAAAAAATCAATGCGGGCACTTATTCCCAAAGCGGGCATTTATTGGTCAGACACCAATAAACATAAAATAAACTATAAATAAAATAACATAAGCAATAAGTCAATATTTTTAGTGAGAAGGATGAACCTGATGCTTTAATAATAAATTATCATCATTTGGCGTCAATTTTGTAAGGGTTAATCTTAAATCTCCTCGGCTAATGATGTCCAGTCTGTTTCTTTTCATCGTTAGAAATTGGTAACAGCGCAGAACCCCCTTTCCATTAGGTATGACGATGGAAAGGAAATTAAAAATTTCCTCGCTACATTCCATAATACGGGATAAGTAACGGGTATGTTGTTTTGCAGCCAGAATTGCTGATATCCGTTTTTAAACTGAACCTTAAGTTCTTCGTTTGTACTTAGTTCAGTCAGTTCCTCTTGTATTATGACATTCGTTTCTTCTATGTCACCATATGGATTAATTATCCACGGTGGTATTACCATAGTCAAAATATCCTCAAACCTAGATTCAAAATCTGAATAGAGGGCATTTAAATGTTGAACGTAAGTTGAAACGTCGTCTTCCTGGCAGCTTGTCTGTGACAAATTGGGGAACTGCTTCATTAGTTTAACTCTGGCAAGAAACGCTGATAAGATGGACTTTGTTTTAATCATATTTAAACTGTCGCCTTGTAATTGCAAATTAACCATATTAAATTTTGTAAACAAATCTGTTAAATAGGCGATGTCTGTTTTCCTCTTCATTAAATTTTCTTTTAAAATTTTATCTTTAGTATCCAGAAATTCTAAAAGTCTCAAAAAGTGCAAAAAATCGTGTCAAACAAGCCTTTCGACAGCCAGCGTACTTCAGTGTGAAGGAGTAATTGATGAAAGTGTTCGTCATTTTCTTCACACAACTGCGCAAATAACCGCGTATTCAACGCGTTGCTTCAGGTTCGGTTTACTGCATCAATGACTAAATGAAGTGATTCATGCAATCTAACACTCAAATTTTTAGCAACTAAATGTTGTCGATGGATGACGCAATGTATCGCTAACACCCCTGACACATTTTATTTTAAATAGTTTATAAATCCACGATAACGTTCAACCATGGCAGGTGCTTCATCTGTAGCTACTGATATTATATTTGATAAAGGAATTGCTTTTTCAATGAGGTAATCCTTCAAAACATGAAATATTGATTCACCTTTAGTGTCGGTTATCAAAGTTCTTGCGAAGAGCAGTTCATCGTAGATTTCTTGATTCATAATAAAACGAACATATGCCAATAATAATGCTGCATTATCAGGTAAAGTTGACTCGTCCAGTTGTATAGAGAAATGGGTCGTTTGCAAATAATTACATAAGAAGCTTTCAATATCAGAACTCATTTCATCAATACGTCTTTCAACAGTATTGTTGCTTAAGGGAATTCTTTTAATGATATCAGACGCAGGTTTGTGTAAAACAGTTTTTAAAACCTCTTCAACGGCTGGCAAAATTAACTTCTCTCCGATAGTATGCGGTTTTCCGGATTTTGCTATAAGTAACGAGATATTGTAAGACGCCCGCAAACCATCATCATTTCTCTGTGACGTCGAAGCGAACATTCTGTCCAGTGTAGGTCTCTTCTGAAATTTATCTTTGAGTGTTTGAAAGTATTTCACATCTTTCTCTGTTTTATCAGGGTGGCATCTTCTCAGATGATCTTGCAGTTTAGATGGTTTCATAGCGTCTTTGCCCAAAACTTTGTTGCGTAAAAGGCACATAGGCGATTGTTTGTCCGGCAATGATGGAATGAAGCCAAATTTCAAATAATCAACACTGCACTGTCTACATTTCTTTTTAGATTCGGACATGACATCAGTCATCTGTGGGCAAAATTAAATTATTTAAATAAGACAGAAAATCCAGAAGCTGTATATTAAAAATATTTTTTGATTTTTCCAAAAACATTCCATAATTCGAACATCTTCTTGCAACAATTAGCTCGAATTACGGAGATTGCACTGTAATTATATTACCGATTGCTAAAACTTCCAAGAAGAAACTATTTAAGAGTACTCGTGTAATTTTGCATGATTGAATATTTAACTACTAATAACTAAAGTCATGATTGGCGTAATTTATCTATCTTTGCTAACTACGAGTACAAAACTAAAATTTAATAAAAAATAATGTACTTACTTTTCTCCAGCACTCTCAAACAAAATAACACTGACTCACTATAATTTGTGTGATATACTATCTGTTTATATTTTTTAAAATATTTTCTTAGCACTTTCCTTTTCAAGATTCAGGAAACGAATAAACGTATTTGTCCCACATTCGTAAGTATAGAGTGACGAATTGAACAAGTCAGTGCAAGGTAGCGAAGCTCTGAGACTTGGACTCTCAGGTTTTTACAAGTTCAAAATGTATTGCGACCACAAAGCGAATACCAACATCCTACAACTTACACAATTTTATAAACATATATAACAAATTTTTTACTTCATAGGTACTTTTATAAATAATGTATATTTTTTGATATTATAAGATAGAATGATGTAAGTAAATAGGTACTATCAGTGTATGTGGTAAGATCCACTATCGTGGACCCCCATATTCATTTCATAGACCCCTAGAGGTCGATATAGACCACTTTGGGAATCAATGCTCTAGGGCTATAAAGTATGCAAGAGGAGCTTCAAATGAGCTATCACATCACTACTTATTCCATTTAGAAAAACTTTCCCAGTTGATGTCAGCCGCTATCTTGGAATTTATAACCACTACTTTAACGTCAAAATATAGTAACCATGCCAGCTTGACCCATTTAAATAATAAGTAGAGGGAATCTGTCCCTATATTGCCAATTATTGTCACATAATTGCCAAATATCTGCAGCCAAAATTCACATATTTGTTAAAATGTCGACAAACATGCTACTGTTCGGGATAGAGCGGAATCTAATGGGCGCATTATTAAACTCTTCTTGAATCCACTAATTCACATCACGGAAAATTATCAATCACATATTGTCATATTGTCTCATGTGTCGATCTGAAAGTAATACAATGCCGTACCATAATTACACATACGTTCCACTACACAATTCATTTTGTTAGTTGTTCGTAAACGTTGTACACTTTTTTGCCACGAGCTGCTTTGTTATTTTGACCTGTGATACGAAATTCACTCCACTATAATACACATGGGGACCCATCAAAATGGAACTAATGGTATCAAAAGATGAACTTGGCATACTTTTAACTGCGAATACAATTTGGACTTGAACGCGAAAATTGACTTTTGGCCAATGTCCTTGTCCTACTTGGAGACCAATAAGTCTCGACCGTGTTAATGATTACCAACAAGCACGAAACAACTATTCACGCTTGGCCATCTATTGATTGGACGGACGAAAGCAATATTAGTCAAAATGAATTGCCAAGCCCAGGCAGAATGGAGGATAGAGAATAGCGTAAAATATGTAGGCGCATAAGATAGGATTTAGTTCCAAAAATGTACAGCTAGAGCGAAGATAGTGACAAAAATTAATATTTTCAACGAAGTGAGTAAAAATAGTGAGACCAGCATATCTGTACCTAATATAGGGTGTTAAGTTTCAGATACGCGGATAATCTCGTCAAAAACATTAGTCTCATTTAGGCCCGTATCGTTAGTCGTCCCTACAATTGTAGGGCGCCTTTATGGCCTCCTTGATTGTCATAGTTTTCTACTTCTCCGTTTCAGAACTCTATTTTGAGGTTATGTCACAAACATCTATTTGCATCAAATTGTGCTTGCTTTTGAGTTATATCATGTTTATCAGCCTGAAATTTCCTACAATTTAAAAAGAAAACATATCTTCACAATAGTAGAGCGCTGACGCTGACACGGGACAAGTGTAATCTAGAAATTATTGAAGGAGAGAAAGAAGTATGACAATCAAGGAGGCCATAAACGCGCCCTACAATTGTAGGGACGACTGACGATACGGGCCTTAGAAAATGACGACCTTTAAATGAACTAAAAGATCAAATTAACAGAGATACATACCTACACCTGTTTTGAATTTCTTTTTTAGAGTCATGGTTTTTGAGTTTTTTTGTAGAAGTCGCTTACATCCAATCATATCTCGAATATTATGTTCACAATTATCGGGGGATATTTGAGCAAATAGGCGAAACTATAATACAAAAAGTTTTATTCATGATGCGATACAATGCTCAGGTATAATAAAAACAACAAAACTTCCTGTTTAAAATAAACCCGCCTCGTATTTCGCTTAAAAATAAGAATTCGGATAAATTGTATTTTTATTTTTTGTTGATTTTAATGATTTCCATCAATAGACAGTTTTGTCAATCACAAATACCGCATCCGTAAACGTTGACATTTAAACCCTATTTCACGAGTATCCATCACGGTTTGACGTCTACTGAGGTGAATGGCTGATCAGCAATTGACATTTTCGTATTAGTCTGTAACGTTGGCAATAATGAATCGGGTGTAAATTTAGTAAAAGCTTGCTTGTTTTTTATGCAAATGAACTTTTCTAAATAAAAAAGTTGTTAGCAAGTAAAAGATGAATCTAGCGTAGAAAAAAAACAAAACAAAATACGCTTCTGTCTACCTGACCTTGAGGGAATTGTGTATCATTTTTGGATACGGGGAAATTTGAAATATTACTATAAAATCAGCTGTTATTCTACTGTAATTTATACTCGCGAATAAGACCAAGGGATAAGAAGTCAATGGATTATAGGTTATGAATAGCGTTTACGAATGCGATATTTGTGATATCAAAAATTATATAGTTTCCAATTTCTCGTTACAATATAAAATATCATGTGAATAATACCATCAATTCCATGATTATGAAAGATGAAAATTCCGTGACCATGAAAAAAATTGATATACTACATTGGCAAGAAATGAGAAATGATTCATAGACAAAAAATATTAATTGTGAAACATTCCTCTGCCAAGATCCGCTAACAATTATTACATTACATAACGCTCAGGACAACTGAAACGTATCTTGTGGTTTTCATGCTGGTGGGACTCCATGATAAGCCACTAAATGAAGCCACGTATGTTTGAATTACACAGTGAAAAAGACATCATGGAGTCCTACGCATTCCTTAACAGTAATAAAAAAACATCGTTCAAGTGAAAACCGACGGATTTCGCCAGCATGCCTTGAAGAAATAAGATCTAAACAGTAAAACGATACATTTTGTAATTAACCAAAATCGGTGTGTTTATTTTCAACAGAATACATATTAAACTTAATGCTATATAAAGTGAACCTCATCCACTAATATCAAAATATCTTTCAGATGCATCTTTGTAGTGAAAAAACTGGCTACTAATTAATAGAGAAAACAGAATTTGTACTGTCACTACAAGAAAAATATGTTTGTAATAGACGTAGCACAGATCCAAGAGAATATCTTGAAAAGTAGATTATCTAATCACAGACGCAGTCAGAAGAGGGTGCTGTAGGAACAAGCTAAAAGCATAACAAAATCATTGTTAATACATAGCTCATAATTGTCTTACGGGATTCTGGAATTCCCTAAAATAAGACAACTCAAAAAATTGTGTCAATGCAATAACAGTTTGACCTAAAAAAATTAAGAATTATGGTTCATCAGTAGTGTCACAGATGAGTTTTTAGTGTATGCTTGGTCGTTATCGCCGTTATTTAAAAAGATATCTATAAAATTTGTTTACAAAAATTATGGGTAAATATAAAGATATGCCGCTATCGACAGGGTGATTCATAACTACGTGGCAACACAAACAAGGCATTATTTTAAATGAAAAACAAATTTTAGTATATTTTGGAGGGTTCCTTGTCCCTTCAGAACTTTTCATCAAAATAAGCACATCCCATACTTTCTTGTCATTTAAACCTTTTTTTTATTCCGTGAATCTTCCAAGATACAAGGTGTTTATAAACGCAAAACGTACTTTTTCTCAAGAAATTCAAATGGAGGACTCTGTATATTATTATGGATTTTGGTTATACTTTACATTTGGTTTTTTTAATATATTTTTTGGAAGGTTCGATTATAGAGTATTTGAGTTATTTGCAGTTTCTCAGAAATTAAAATTCAAAATAAATGAATACATTATTCCTGGAAATGGAGAATGGCTATATGCGTTCATTGAAATTACTTATCCGCTGAAGTCTCCGCTTTTCACGAATTGGGTGGTACTTATGTATTTTATGTATCCGAGAAACTGCAAATAACTCAAAAATTTAGTATTATAGTAATTACCCAAAAATGTTATACCAAATTAAAGCCTCTAAAAAGTATAACACAAAATCGTAAAAATATACTAGGTATTACATACGAATGTTTTGGCAAAAAGTATATTTTGCTTTTATAAGCACCATGCATGGACGGTGCATAAAATTTACAAAAAGGTTAAATGACGAGAAACTATGGGATATAACGAAAGTGTGCTACTTTGCAAAAGAAACAGACTTACAAGCTGTCAAAGGTGAGTGTTTTAGTCTACAGAAGCATCGATACAAACACTGTGGTATGCGGTATGCTATACCAATCTTATTTTGAAAGTGCCTTTCAGAATATACTAAACTGTACAGATGTGTTTGTGTTAACACATTATGAATCCCCCTGTAGAGAGCGGCATATTTTCCAAGTAAGAAGCGGATAGTTTCCTTCATTTGTAAGTAGCTTTCTTTGATATATCGGCGCTTTCAACCAGGGACACACTAAAAAACTCAGCCTGAATATCCAAATTGAGTTTGTCTTAGAAATCATTTGACCCAAAGAAACGCCTAAGGCGTTAATCGAAAACTTACAAAAGAATTTTCATATAACCAACTTTTGCCAAATTTCTACGCATCATCACATTATAATCAGTCAAAATTTATTTTACATTACCAACAAATGTCCCCTACCACACCCAAAAAAAGACTACGTTTGCAAACGTGCAGCTATAAACAAAAACAAGACACGTAGGTATATATTTGTTTCAACTTAAAATACAAAGATCAAATAATAAAAACTCAATAAAGAGGGAAAAGTCTTTCACATCACGGAGCACCAGCTTTTCTTTTCGTCGTCGCCATTCACACCATTTTCATTTGGCATTTCGCCGTATGCTAAGTTGTATCTTGCATCTCTGTAACCCAAAAGCTTCGGCGTGCTCGAACAATCTCCTAAGAATCTGTAATAATATTTTAAGATAAATTACTTCTACTCCATAATCTCAGTACTTATTTCAAAAAAAATGTGTATAATATCGTAATTCGTCCCCATTTTTTTATGTTGTTCAACTATTTTGTTTACACCAAATGAAAACATTTACAAATTCAACAAAATAAAGCTATGAGAACTATTTTAAATGAAAACAAATATGCTCAGATTAAGTCTATGTTATAAGAACCGCAGTGGATAAATGTAAAAAAAATTATGTTATTTAGTTCTCATTGTCATATTCAAATAAAAACACTTATTACCACCAAACTTAGAAAACTTCACACTGAATAGTCATTATCATAACTACAATATAGATTTTCATTTGTAAAATTGTAAAAGTAGCATAACTAGCAAATGTGTATTTCAAAAGGGAGTATTTGAATTCAATAAATTGAATATTGATATTAAACAGTGTTTAGGGTGAAATTAAGAAATCACTTTATGAATATGCAGCAATGTAATTTTAATAGACAAGAAAGTAAAATTACTAAAAATTGATTAAAAACTTATGTATAAGAATAAATATACACAATTGGCATTGTACCATTAATGCTAAATAAATCTTCAACGAACAAAATAAAATGAAAAATCATGTTAAGAAGCTACATCAGATTTCCAAATCATGTAAAGCGTTGTGAAAAATAGGTTAGGTTTCTATCAAATTCTTTTTCCCATCTACTTTTGACAGTTTGACCTCCATCCGCACTAGTGCTGGCTAGCGGGAGCAAAATTGGACATAACAGGTTTTACAATAAAAACAAGGTATATAGAACGCACTGATTTCATACGTTTTTCAAGCAAATAGAATGTTCCAAGAATCTGATGCATATAGAACACAAAAAATATCATACGCGCCTCCTACAGAAACACAGGACCTTAGACCACTAGGCTACTAACAATCAGGTTTTGTCAAGTAATTTTTAAATGACAATCATTCAACAAAATTTTGACAACTTAGTAACCGATGGTACCCATAGAGAACTCATTTAGATCACAAGGGACTATCCTCAATGCAATACACCAAATTTTTTACACCATTCCGAAATTTTTGTGAAATCTTATCTTTAAGCTAAGAGAACATCCTTGTTAGATATCAATGAAATGCTCAATTTTTCATACAAGCATACTACAAGATAAGTTCAAAAATTATTTTTTAATAAATGTTATTGTAGGAGGAATGTGATTTCGATATTAGTCTTCAACCGTGTTAGGTAATGCGAAAGAAATTCAAAACTTGACGAAAGATAATTAGGAGGAAAATTAATTTTTGTTAGTGAAAATTATGCAATTAATGCGATTATTGAGAAAGATGTTGGGAGAGATATGATGCCTTTCCAATTTTTCGCAGTTCAACAAGTATGCATAAATGACGCCAAGTTGTTTGACATCTGCTTTTTGTTCATGCAATTGTCTGTCGAAAGGATGTGAGACATTTCCAGAGACAAACGTTTCGATAGATGGTTTTCTCTTTCAAGGACCTTAATGTCACTAGATCCCGTTGAATGCCCTGTAGTGTACACATCTGAAAGTTTGACTTATATAAGTAAGATTGCACCTATTGCATTTGATGGAATAGGCAATATTGGATAAGCTAAGCAGCATTTTGGAAAAGGCATTGTTGATTGTGAGGGTTGGTTTGTAAGCAATCGACAATTTATTAAAAGTGTTGAAAAGTCAAGAAAGTATTATATTATCTGTATTGTTATTATTTGAATGATTGTCATTATTATTGTTGGAAGGAATGGGATTATTGTTATCATTATTGTGTAAAAGCGGTATAGCAGTAGGAGAGCTGAACAAAATTTTGTTAATCAGGTACCTGGGATAACCATTATTGATGAATAATAATGAAAGTTTTCGAAAATTTGAGCAGTAGTCATTGCTGTAGCCAGCAACCAGTTGGGTAAGAAATACAAACTAGATTGTTTATTGGGAATCGACAAATTTCTAGCGTAGTTAGTGAACTATTGTGACTTAAATCTCCAGCTTTCGACAGACTTTGTTGTCATCTTCAGGAGTTAAAAAATAAATTTGAAAATAGCAACCAAGTTAGAACAGTTTAACTTTTATTACTTACTTAGTCGGTGAGGTTGCTGCTAAATGGTTTTTTAGAAAAATACGTGGATGAGACTACTTGTTAGGATGATAAAAACAAAAAACTGGACACATTGGGTTTGTTGTTAACGACGGAACACATAGCCATGCGTAACAAACCTTTGTTTATAAACCCGGAAGGATTAAAATGGAGAAAGATTAATCAAATAATTAAAAACTAAAACTACATTTTGGGGAAAGAAATTTGTTTTTTACACCGTATAATGTCCACCTGCTGAAGCTACATAACCCCGAAATGTGACAGATGTACGTCATGAAGAAATGTGGCAGTTGTAAATTACTACCAACCTAAATTATTGTATTTAAGAGGGCCGTTTGAAAAAATATATTTTCCCAAGATACCGAGATAGTCTTTTTTGACTGATATATTTTATTTGTAAATTATTGGTATTGAAACAACAGAAAATATGGATTGTGTCGACAAAATTCAAAAAACTTAAAAATTCCTTTATTACGGAATGTGGTTAAATTGTTGTATGAAGAAGAAGAAAAATTATATTTGTATTAAATGGTTGTGGGCCTAAGTTTAATCCTTGCAGAACACCTGAGTTTACACTACATGTGTTAGAATTGAACCCATTATAAGTACACATACTGTGATCTGCATAAGTACAAAATTCTATCAAACCCGTCGAAAAACCGAAATTACAATGTTTTTTAAGAAGAATACCATGATCCACCCTGTAAAAAGCTTTTGAAAAATCGGCATAGATTACATTTACTTGACCACCCTGATCCAGAACTTCCGATAGTATTGGAGATAAAGGATTAATCACCTGTTTTGAAAGTTGGGACAATGTTGGCTGCATTCCATACTTGAGGAAATGTGCAAAATTTAATTGACAAACTATATATGACTGTTAAAAGATGTGCAAAAACAGGGATACAATCTTTAACCAAAAATGAAGGTATCTTATCGCAACCTGAAGTCTTCGTCATTTTATTCTTTTTTGCCGCATGGATGATTTCCATTTCAATTCAATTCCATCAATTATGATGTTATTAATTGGACTATGTGTAGCTATGTGACTTGTTGCATCAGAATCCATTGAATTTCTATAGACCTCATTTAATAGTTTGGCAACTTGATCAACAATATCTGATGAAATTGTTTCCTCACATTGAGTCATAACATTAGGTATTCTGGTCGATTTGGATTTCTGACATACATATGACCAAAATTAACGAGAATCAGTATTAATACCATCTTCTACATGTTTTATATATTGCGGATCAGCTACCTTAATGTCATGTTTAATCTGACTTCACAATACCTTGCACTGACCTAAAATATCATCATAACCTTCTTTTATATTTATTCAGAATTGTTTTCCTTTTATTTTCCTAATTATGTCATAATCGAACCATAGTTGAAATTTGCGCTTATAATGGATATTGTACACATGGCACGGATTGATATGAAATATCAAATGTCTAAAAACGTAATCTTCCTATAATTGGCTTTAACTCATCGAATAAGGAACAACCTACTGCTAAAACTTTTTTTATAGTATTTAAGGGTCGTTTTGATAACAGCGAAAACGAGATGATTTTATGTAACTGTATAAAAGCCTCGGCGATGTAGCAGCTTCCTAAATACATTTTATATCTGCCATATCTAATCCGAAGCACACATCGATGCACTCAAATACTATTAACATACGGCTGAGGTTTCATGTAGACCGCATGCGTCGTACCAAAATATCGTTTGTTACAGTCGATATATGGGCAAATTTGAATGTATAAACACGCTTCTTAAAAACGGAAGCATTGATGATTTAATCGGATAAGTATGAGATAAATTGTCATTTTCAAATAAAACTATGAGAATATATTTTTTAAAATAACAGGTTTGAAGTCGATGTATTATATACGGTGAGATTCAAATTTTACTGACGTCGGCATTTTATACATATGTATGTACATATAATTATCACTATCAAGTATTAAAAATGTTCATGCGAAATAAGAGTACTTGTTTTTTCTAACAAACTGCTTCATAATGGTCAGTGGCTATGGCTTAAGTAACAGTAAATTATATAAGCAGTTTCAACTATAAAATATTTATATTTGTTAGTAGAACGTCGACATTTTCGCATCCTTCGTCCATTTCAAGTTGTCAATGTAACTATATTATAACATAACCAGGTGCGCTGGTTTCTGAAATCTGACAACCAGGCTGGATACTGCAAGATGCTTGACACCTTGGCTCCGGTAGGTGGGTGGAGCGAGTTTTGAACGTGGTCGAATAGATTTCTTCATCGTATTTCCATATTATATCGTTATTTTTTTAACAATTCTAAAAAAATTTCACACATCGACAGGATATAATTGTTCACATGTCATGAGCCATCCAGGACATGAGAAAAAAGTTTGGTAGAACAGTTATCAGATATTGTATAACAGAACATTTGAAAAAACAATGGGCTCATGACATACACGTATTTTATCTTAATGTGGACACGAACTTGGAACTCGGACGAATTGATATTTTCCGAGAAAGTATGGAAATAAGATTCAAAAAATTGGGTAAAAAATCGTAATTTTTTAATAAAGTGTAAACAACCCAGCATTATTAAAGCATTATTTGGAAGTCCTATCTCAAATAAAGTTATGAAAAAATAAAAACGATTTTGGGAAAGTTCGGTTCTTCTCATCTATCTCTGGAAATAATCAAAATTGGTCAACTATCTAAGTGCTATTTTCTTAATTACCCAAATGCGAAACATTGCCCCCATTTAACCAAATTTATATCTTTTGCTGTTTTCAAAACCCCAATAGTGAAATTTGAAACACCCGGTATGTTGCTGATCATAGGACAAACACAGTCACATTATGCAGATGATTTGTGCGTACTAAACAAAACAGCAAAATACAGCTTTGAGAGCAATGTGGGGGTTTACTTCTAATAAGCAGAGAACTGAGTGTATTGTATTTGTACGTGCACGAACGTACCCTAAACAGAACTTTAGCTGAACTAGAGAGCGAAGGGTGGTAACCCGCGTCCTGGATCAAATACAATACATTTGGGTCAATTTTAAAATTTTAATAAAATAATGGCAGATGACATCATTAAAGAAATAATCATTGGTTTTAGTTCGAGTGTTTCTATCGAAGAATTGAAAATAACTGAAACATGCATCTATATGATACTTACATACGGACTTGATGCTGTGTTCCCTTGCATAAGCAGTTGCCACGCCTTTTTTATAAAGAGGAAATGGTGGGGTGGTTCCTCCTTTTATTTAATTATATTAATAAATTAGTAAATTACTATAAATGAAATCTAAGGATCAGTCAAAGCAACACAGCTGTCAAGTGGCGTGCAAATTTAGGCCCTAGTTCAATAAAGCGGAGAGTAGGGGGGTGTTAAGAGCGCAAGTGACTCAAGACTGATTAAGCCACAAATCCCCGAGTTTTTAGTTGGAACTTGTTTTGCTTAACCACCACACAAAGAAATAAAAATCAAATACCGATTATGAAACCTAATTAACTGTATACAGAGAGCCAAATAAAACAAGATATCTAAAAAAAAGAATCACAATATATTGCCCAAACAAGCAGCACATATGCTCCACCACTGGAATGCAAGTTAAAAGAAAATATATTATTTAAGACTACCTGACAATAAGATTAATAGACCGTAATAACTAACTGCAAAACGTTTACCATGGTACACGTACGAAGGCTTCACAAATATAGGTCTTACAGATATTTCAACGCCTAAACCTAAAATTATCTGGAGAACGGTCAGCTTACAAACGCTCAGGTCAAAAACCAGTGGCCAGTAGTGAGCAGTGATTTTAAAAACGTCACAAAGTAGGGGCTGCTTGTCTCGTTCTCAAAATTTATGGTATAAAAAAACCCAAGAGAGAGGAAAAGACTGTTTAAAAATCTACTCTATACACTATGTCTGAGACAGAACTACACATTTAAAAGACTCAAAACTTGAAGAAAAATTCAAGTACATTCTCTTTTACAAGTAAACTACTTTTCTTTCTGCAAGGGCAAGAAAAGATAAAAATTTACAAAAGTCATGTACCCTCAGAAAGTTATTCCTTGTTCTAAAATAAGTTATGGCAGCTCAAAGTTCAAAATCATGATTAATGTAATGTAATAAGGCCAAAAGACAGTGACATGTAGGCACTACCCTATATTTGAGTTCGTAAAATGCAAAACAAAATCAAGAACACACTATGAATTTCAGTCAGCAACAATCAATATACCAATATCTATGAAATACCCAATTAAAAAGATATTTTACCTGTTCACATCAGGGTTTTTATAAAGCGGAAGAGATGGCTTCCAACAAAATCGGCTGCGAAACAGCTACAAAACAAAGCTGGAGAAGTGTGAATGGTGGTTCTCCACAATGGTTTTCCACTAAAAGGAATCAGATATTGAACAAACTTCTTCAGGACAAGCATTAAAGGACGTCGTCCGATGTTTTACAAAAGAGAATTTACCGCTGGAGGTTAAAATCCCATAAAAAAATGGACGGGTGGTAGTACCCAAACCAACACAACTAAACGTAAAGTACAAAATAAAAGGGTACTACTCCATAAACTGGTGCTTGGGGCGTTAATATCCCAAAATCTGGAAGTTAACGAAAAAAAAAACGCCCGCACACAACCAAAATCACAGCGCAAATAAAATGGCGCTGGACCGTCTGTGCACGCAGCCCCCTAAAAGAAGGTTGAATAAGTGGCCCTGAAACAGACACGTTCGACAGAACATCAAAAGGAACAGATAAAAGCCGGTAAAGAAGGTATTTTGATAGTAAATCAAATTTTAACAGACGGTATCTTGATAGGAAGATAAACATTAATATACCGCTAGTACGTGTAAAAATCACAAGATGGCGTGCTGGTTGCAGATGGGCAGATTGTAGGCAGAAACAAATCTGTCTACGAGGGACCAACAATATTTATGAGGAAATTTCTCAGATAGTCGTTAATAATACTATAACATTAAGAGATTTCAACACCATACTGAGTCGCTGAGAATGACAGATATAATACGTGTGAAATTCTACAATCAATAAACTATGAAATCTGACAAAAGAAAATCATTGAAAAAGGTTTGGTCCAAGAATCGGTACTCTACTATTAATGAAGAGAAATTCAAATTACTCATAAGTGATCAAAACAGTAAACTGAAAGATGACGTGATTTTAGCACGTGACACAGTGGCATTCTTAAATTAAAGATGTGCCTTAATAGATAGATATATAAAAAGCTGGGCATTTCCCTTACTGCATCCCACATGACATGTTCTGAGATGCTAGAAATGGACAGTATGGCGACGCGCTAAGTCCAGGCACACAAAAAATTCTGACAGACAAATCAGTTGAGCCGATTTTGGCTGAAGCTGAGCCACCAATATCAAATCCAACCTCCCTATCTCAAGCATCATTTGAATTATATTCCACAATGATAATACATTATAAAAGGGTCTTCCTCTATTTCTCCTAGATTTTCACCCTTTTCCTACCATATAAGTTTTTTAAATGCATTTAGAATCAATTTTCACGCAAATAGCCAAATCAGATTAATGAGCTTGGACATTCAATTCTGTCAGACCGAAATTACTAAGTCAGGCAATGGTCCAGCGCGGAATTTGTATCTAACGTTTGGCATTTGAGTAGAATCATGTCATATTCTCCGCGAAATTATAAAGAAATGCATTACTATTATGGCGCTGCCCTAGAAAATGCTCGAGCAGCTGCTCACATATATCGGGAGTATCTGGGTAGAAGAGGTATACCACATCCGGCGGTATATCCCGACCACCTCGTTTTTCTACGGGTCCATAATGCGTATATGAAGGGCCGCATACTAGGCACTCATCGTCACCTAGGAGCGCCGAGAATACGCCCAGAAGAAATAGAAGATATAATAGAAGCAGCCGAGAGAGGTCCCTCTATGTAAACGCTTCAGAACCATTGCCCGAAGCAGAAATCTTATCCCATACTTCAGTGCACACAATACTACGCTTGGAGAACATGCATCCTGACAAAATATACAAGAATTCCATCCAAGCGACTATGCACAACGGGTTGAATTTTGTGAGAATATGATGAGGTGCGAAGAGGATGAAACTTTTTTCGACAGCATCTTATGGACAGATGAATCCAACTTTATCCGAAATGGAATGTTCAACATGCACAATTTCCATTCATGGAGTGTGAAAATTCCACACGCTATTCGCCGACACAGCTTTCAACGTCAGTTCGGCGTTAATTTATGGGCTGGAGTACTCAACAAAAAATTAATTGGACCATATGAATTCCCGCCAGGTTGAATGGTCAGTCATATCTTGCTTTTCTGAAAAGCAGTTTGCACGAGCTGCTAGAGTACGGCATTACTTAGACAGTGCCTTTCCTGATCGTTGGATACATTTGGGCTCCAAGGTCACCCGATTTAAATTCTCTATCGTAGCAAGCTGAAATTTTCAGGGTTTATTCTACATGGATTGAAATAGTTTTTACAATAAAATGAATAATGAAATTCAACCTCAATTTTTTTACTGCCCTCCAAAGTTGAGGGATGGAAGAGATTTTTTCACAAAAAATGAATTTAAGATTTGTTGCGTTCATTTCTAATAAGCTCTGTTAAAAAGTGACATGGACAGGCGTTAATGTGTTTTTTATGTTAGTGTGAATGTTGTAACTACTCCTCAAGCCCCCCATGATGATTGCCACAGTCATATTGGATTTACCGCTTCAACAAGTTCTAATGTCAATAACACTGATATGGAAATGGAAGCTGACGATAGCGGAATGGCAACCGTCGGACATTTTTGCGTGGCCGAAGAATTGTCAACCTTGAACATCTGTTGGCAGAATATAAATCTATTCCGCAGCATTATAAAAAATATACCATGGGCAGAATGGATCTAGTCGACGGCCCCGACATGGACGCCTGACAAAACTTCATTTTTATATAATAATCACGATTATATGATACACGATAACAATAATAATAAAACTTTTTTCATTTATTACATACTTAGGCAAGTTTGGCGATGTGGATTCTCTATAAGCAAATGTAATGTAATTGATACTAAGTTAGCTGTTACCATAAAAAGTTTTCTTTCTAGTTCATTTGTGAAATCCGCGTTATTCCCGATACATCATTCTATTGCATAGAAGATACCATTATATGATAGTGATGAAGTTGTTAAAACAATTGCAAGTACCTTTCGTCGAAATCAAATTGTGAGCTTCCGAATTATTCATTCCATTCACCTCAATCCCAGTTTCTCCAATTCCTATTTTTATCTCGTTTTTTCACCGTTTTTTGATACACAGATGTTTTATTGTGTAACAATGGTATTCGGTACATGGTGGCCCGTTTATAGCCCAGCTTTGTTTTTTTTAACAAAAGATGACAGAATACTCATTTTACCTAAACAACTATAGGTATATATATAATATATATAATTCACCGGTTGATTCCATCACTTATGGTTGACAGCTGTCAGCAACCGGTTTCGATGAATGGTCGTTAATGAAAAGACGCATTTTTATGTAGCCTTCAGGTTGCTGTCATATGAGAAAACCTGACCTTTGTTTTATCGTGAATTGTTAATTTGAACACCGTATCATTTAAAATCCTTATGGCAATGTTCGCAGCAGTTGGTATCGTCGTGGAACGTTTGTTAAGCGATCCGAGTGATGATTCGGATGAAGAAGTTATCCAGTGGAAGAGAATTAGCGCTCCGAGAATCAATAAAAGAACTATAAATCAGAAAACCAAGAAATTTTCAGATATGCATAAATAAAAATAAAATCACTTGCCTTCAGATGCTCTGTTTATTTCGAATTTGTTTATTTGTGATTCCGGCCCGAAGGTTTATAATAAATTCATATACCTGCCACGGTTCGAACTGCATATCACATCGTCATGAAAAAGTTAAGAAAACATTGAGAAAGCTAAAAGCTGACATAATTAATATACATGTTATGAACATTTCAATTCCATCATTTGAATTACTGGAGCTACCCAAACCTATAAAATTTAACATATAACAAGAGCAAACCGATTTAAATGATTATTTACATAACAGAAATTGATTCTAAACCATACTTTTTTGTACGTATATATTAATTTAAATTACGTTAAAAAATATGGAAGTTGCAGTGTGTCGAGGTACAGTATATACAAATAAAGAAAAAGAGTACGGCCCTGGACTTTTTCAATGTAAACTCTGTGTACCAAAGACATTGAGAAAGTAGCAAAAACCTGTCCGGATATGATCAATATTTCCGTATATATATATATATAGAGAGAGAGAGAGAGTTCGTATTTAAATAAACTCAAAGAAAGAAAACAATTCTGAAAAATATTTTAGGTGCACTCAAATAAATTTTCGTTGATCAACTGGTTGTTTATACTATGTTGAACTCTTCGATATGAAACTTACAGCGTGTTGATTTTAACAAAATCAAGTCTGGTTCTGGATCTTTTAATTCAAGAGTTGTTGTCTCGGATAGCCGATCATGGTCCGAGCATATATAATGCTCAACCACTAAGGCCAAAAGGAGTCTGTACCTTATTAACAGATCCATTGAAGGCTGTGACAGTTCTACGACTGGGCTGCTGTACAGTGTACACGTCATATGTTAAGACCAATTATGATATTCGCTGGACCTGTTTGGTTTCCAATCCTACAACGTGAAATATAGAGGGAAGCTACACGCATCCCGTATGGTATCCAACGGCCTTGTTATGAGGAGAGGTTGAACCTATTCAACTTAACTCACTTCTCCGATAGACGAGGGGACTTGATAATCACATACAAAGCATTGCATAATTTCTTCGGCACTGATATATCCTCCCTTTTCCGTTTCAACGCCAACCACCTGCGCGGCCACAACTATAAGTTAATGAAAGAGAAGTTGCGAACTACACCTGGGCAATTTTCCTGTCTAACCGAGTATTTGATACCTGGAACAGGCTTACCTACGACGTTGCTTATGACATGTTCTTTATTTTTTTCTACGTTCAATTTTCTATTTCTGTTTGGATTTTATAGCTATTATGTATAATATCAAATTTGTATGAATCCACGATTAAACCTTAAAATATCTTGACAAGGAAACACAACTTTAATATATCTCACCTGTTCCTTAAAACAGCTAGCGGACTGCCAAACAAACTCCCGCTGGGGCTGGCTCTGCCCTCAGCTTTGAACTTCTTCCGATCCTCGTCCGGGGTAATGCTCCGCCCCTTTCGCTTTACACTACCGCCCACACGTACCGACCAATCCTCCTCATCGCCGTCATTCCCTTCGAGATCCGCCTTGCCACGTGCCCGTCGCAGTGCCATCTTTCGGTACTCGTCGGAACCTCTGATCGGTCGACGCGCTGACAGGCTACGCAGCGTCTCCGTTAGAGAGCGCTCGCGACTGGCGGTCAGATAAGCAGAATCGTCAAACTCCAATTGGCTGGTGTCTCCGCCAGCAACCGCCCTCGTAGAGGCGTTGTGTGTGTCTGTGGAATCGTTGCTGACGTCTTCGCTACCGGCTTCGCACCCATTTTGTTGCTATGGAGAATACTTTGATTAGTCTGTGTTCGTGGAACACACGTTTGTGGAATGTCTCTTAACTTGAAACAAGCCGCTCGGTGACCCGGATCAACTTTGCTTAAACAATTTATTTTAAAAGAAGTTTCAAAACATGTTCTTTTTGACCGGGCATTTTTTTTAAAGGTTGTTTGCATTACTCTGAACCAAAAAAGCCTGCAGTAACTTTTCTCTAAAAATGATTGTTTTCAAGTTGTAAGCGATTTAATGTCTGAAAATTCCTAAAAATGGGTATATTAAATACTTAAAAGCTTGGTTAAAAATTGTGAATTTGTAAGTTTTTCATGTATCTAAATTAGAGCTAAACTTTGCTCTAGAAGACCCTGAAGAGTATTTTAAGATTAGTTTATTTTACAGCAATTTTAAGCTTTGTTAAGTAAAATTGGAGGACTTTTTATTTTCGCAGACTCAACAACGTAGCATGAAAAAACTGTACGAAATACTGTATAAAAGTGACATTTGGGGTTGCCACATAATATTGAACTAGAAGATTTTCCATAGAGTTTACAAGAGAAGGAAGTAGTCTTTTGACTGGCAATGAAATGTATGTACTGAATAAATTGTACAGCATCCTGCCCAGGAAGGACATGGGGATTGCCAAGGCGCTAGAAGTTTGTCAGCAGGTGGGCAGATTGTATCTTTGAATTCACTAAACCTAGGATTGAATGAAAAACTGTTCTATTAACTTGGCAAGAGAAGGGAGGAATCTTTTCACACTTCGGGAAGGAAACATCGAGATGACAATACTGTTGAGCATTTCTGACAGAGTGACTATAAAGGCTTCATCCTGTCAAAAAACGCTAAATCAGCATGTACTAGCTTCACAGCAAAACAAATAAAAATACATAAGCATACCCTTAACAACTTAGCGCCACGACCCTTTCTATCCATCATAAAACATGGGCCAGCATGGTCTGTACCTACGATACTAAATCAAAAATCACATGCATATAAGTAAAGGTAGGTGGCATTTGTAAGACGAATTGAGCACCCTTCCTCGCACGCGTAGTAATCCCTTTTTGCCTATAAACGGACTCAAATACAATAAATGTCTCTTATTTCCAATATGATCACCTAAGAACAGAGCACTAATTTCAGACAAGTTTATGTTTTACAATTTTAATTTACCTGTTAAATATATTTTTAACCAGCCGATAATACGAGTGGACCAAAATTCACCTGCATCAACTGCAATGAGAAACAAAATGAAACCAAGAGGGAACAGGATAATAATCAGTTCGGGAGTTTCGCTTGCGGTAATCGACTTATTGGTTACAAAACAACCGAAAATACCACCTCTATACAATGGTAACCATGTTCGAAGACATCAGTGAAAAGAATTTTGTTATTTGGACCGAACCATTAACAAAGTCGAATTAGTGTATGTCACTTATGTAAGAACATATAACAAAGGTACATTGGATTGCTCAATATTTAAAACCAATGATAAGAGTGAACACAGCCATCAGCTTCATCGCCCCGGTTAGCAATGAATAGGAAGTATGGAACCACTACAAGTTGGGTGGCTCGGAAGTCTAATGCAGTACAGCGAAGACAAGGGTAAGTGTAGAATATTGAAAAGTATAGTTTCTGCAAAGAACGACTGTGTGCCACTGTTCAGTAAGCTACATAATCCATACGAATTTAATTAATAATATATTTTATTAATTACAGGAAGACTGACAGGAGTAAATGATTGTAAATTATGATGGGTCATTGTCTGAAGAAGAAAGGTGCGAACAATTAAAATTAAGAAAACCAATCAAGTCCAAGGATTATACCACAGTTATTCAATCAGGTCCTTTCAGAACTCACTGATAGTCAAGATTTCTACCAGTCTACATATTTTAACAATATACATATTGACTTATTTAGTATCACAAAGAACAGTACGCATATTGACGTATTTTGTATAACAAAATAGTGAAAATTGATTTTTCCATCAAATCTGTAATGACTCATCTATAACGTCCTTTAATGATCTTAAATGCCTACCCTGTAACCCAGGATAATTGTACAATAGTACCTGTACAACCATGCTTGCCAAGTATGCAGTTGTGTGTGGAGTCACCTTTATACATCCTGAGAAACTTACCTGATTCGTGGGAGTGGAGCATTTTGAGTCCCCATCCATCTCTGGCGACTTTGGCGTTTTGGGCGTCGGTATATTCCTGGTCAGCGACCTCCTGGTGGCACATCTGACCACAGGCGAATTCTTCCCGGACTCGATGTCCGAAGTCTCCTCGAACTGCAACTCAGCTTCCGGCTCATCCGCAATCAATAACGGATCCATATCCGTGACTTCGTGATTTTCGACTTCCGTTTCCTGTTTGGAGGATTTATTCCTTGTTGATGTCCGTTTTGTCATATGCTGCTCCTTCCTGGATAAGTGCTGTTGCTGTTTATCGTCGTTTTCGACTGTTTCTCTTTCTTCTGAAGGCTTTCGCTTGGACTTTTCTTTTTTTGGCGTTATATTTTTGGGAGTTGGTTCTCTCTTTGTAGACTGGACTTCGTCTTTTTGTGGTGATGCATGGTCGCCATTTTCTGTTATCTGGTAACAAATTATAGAACTGGAATATTTTCATTTTGATTACATTTCATAGAAATGAAATAGTCCATGTTTAGTGCTAAATTGTAGCATACACTCAGTCACGGGTCTTATAAATTTATATTTTATATATAATTCAGCAGACCTATTAACTAAAAGCAAACTTAAAAATGTTTTCAAAATTAGAAGGAATGTTAATTACCGCGTTCAGCCAACGTAAAGCAGTCCAACAGTGCAGCGCTTTTATGCTGACGGATGGATTTGCCAGTTTGAAACAGGTTTCTCTTGGCTGTGAGATTTGATACTTTATTGGTTAAATGTTTTCTGTCAAAGCTATTCCACGGCGACTGCTATTCAGCATTCAAGCGCTGTACCGCTTTGTCAACTTGTACAACAAAAATTGCAGCAAAGTCTGAGTTTCAGACTGACACAAAAATAATAAAATGAGTATTACTGGTGCCGAGTCTGGCGATTGTCACTGCTAAAGGGAGAATTGACAGTAGCGAGTCAAGGTTACGTGCTGCTTTTCGGTTGAAAAATCTAGCGTTAAAAAACAGATACGTGATATCTCCTCACTACACCCCCTCCGCTTCGTGATATTTCCTGATTTTTTCCATACCTCCTCCTACCCTTTCGAGCCTCGAGCTCCTAGGCTGCTTATTCACAAAAATACAAATGGAGTATTAAAAAGATAAAATATTAATATAATTAGTATTGTCACCTTAGTCTATGAGCGGGAAGTGTTAAAAATGAATTCCAACGTTCAAACGAAATTTCGCACCAAAGTTTGTAACAAACTTAGTATGCATGTCACGAAGTTTTGCACTACATTTCCTCAGAATACGAGAGAACGAAAACAGGGAGAAAGTTTATAACGATCTTTGAGAACACATGCAAATAATCTAAATCGGCTATAAAAATGCAATTTTGTCAGAATAAAAGATACTGTTTTAACACTAGAAAGATAATTTGAGCTAAAGTAAGAACATAGATATTTTTAATCTTTTACAATAAGATTTTTGACCCCTCTCCTCTCCTGCTGAGATGTCGTGAGATTTAGCTCACCCTCCTCCTAACACTGGTTAGATAGTAGTGTCAAATCACGCTGATGCAATTCAACAATATATAAATAAAAAATACTTAAAGAGTCAAAGTTATAGAAGTTCCGTGAAGATTGAGTGCTGTGTCTATAACGCTTCCTTGAGGGATGTTCAAGGGTAGAGATAAGATTTCCATATTTCACAGTAAGCTGTAACAGTTGTCATCACAGCTTTTTAAATTCTGAAAAATTTTCGAAAATCGCACGTCGTCGACGCCTTTTAGATGGCCTCTACGTAGGCATACCACTGTCCATTCATGGCCAGATGTAGTTTACCGAACAGAAAATGGTCACAAGGTGCCACATCAGGAGAATATAGGGTGTGGTTGATGGTTAAAATGGCATTTTTGTCAAACAATCGAACACAAATGTCGATTGATGAATGGTGCATTATCGTGCAACAAGCGCCAGCTTCCTTCTTCGCGATATTCTGGCCGAACACGACGAATACGCGACAGCAAAAGCCTCATAACACGAAGATAAAACACAGCGTTAACCGTTTGGCCCGGTGGAACGAATTCTTTGTGGATAATTCCCTTCGAATCATAGAAACAAATCCATTGTCTTCACTTAGGCCTTTTCCACACGGCTTTCTGTCGGATTTGGCTGGCTTAGGTGCTTCCATTCGGCACTTTGGCGCTTGGTGTCGGGATCGTATTGAAAACACCACGTTTCGTCACCAGTCACAATGTTGCACACAAAGTTTTTTCTTTTTTAACCTCTTTAATGATGTCTCTCGAATGTTGAATTTGAAGCAGTTTTTGTTCATCTGTTAACTTTTGCGTAAACAAACTGTGAACTCACCTTTCTCATGCCCAAATTCCTGGTCAAAATGCGATCGATTGAATCTTTAGAGATATGTAATACCATTTCTATGTATCTGAATTCACGCACTTTTTCAACGGTTTTTGGCGTAATCACAAATTTTGGCTGGCCAACATGTTCGTCGCCTTCCAGTGACTCACGACCCTCTTTGAACCGTGTAAACCACTCGTGGACTCGGCTACGGGATAAGCAATCATCACCATACACTTGCATCATCATGTGGTGCGTTTTCAGTAAATATTTTACCAACTTAACACAGAACTTCATATTGGCCGTTTGTTCGATGCTTATTTTTCGACCGGTGCTAAAAACGTACTGTCCCTTCGAGCGCGATAACTCCGTGTGTGGTTCGATTGTCACGAAATTTTGACAGGGCATCAATGAAAGATGTACCTATCCAACGCTAGTATCCGATAATAGATGGCGCTACTAGTATCGGATATCTTCCAGCTTCTGTTTACTTTGCGACAGACATTGTATGGTTTTATTCATATACTAATTCAATACACTTTTTTACAGTACTGGATAGACCTTAAAGATAGGATAAAATCTAGAGCAGCACAATATACTCAGGATGTTACAGGTGCTGGTGGAGGATAGCTTATCTGAAGTAGAGAAGAGTGTTATGGCCATATTGAGAACAGAAGCAGTATTTGAGGATACTGAACATCAAGTTTCATTTGGTGTGAGTACATAACTCTTGCTTAAATTTGAATGGGATTAATATTAGCCGATGAAAAATCAGTGCCATATTCTCCATCTATATTGGTCACCTAATTAAACCACGTTTAATTTGATAAAAGATTTTACTTCCTGGCAATCCAAATCATATTCTAACACTTGAACAAAAGATAAAAAAAATAAGTACAAAGTTCTACTTCCAATAGAAAAAAATACAAATTTTTATTTCAACTTTTCACTAGTGATGACCTTGTGTTTCAGAATCAGTATGATTATATAAAAGGAATTGCATTTGAGTTTAATGTCTACTTGGTATTGCTTCGTAATTTCAAGTATTAATTAAACGCTTTTTGAGTTTCAGAACCAACTCCTCTAACTTCAGCTGTTGAGCCAGCACCAGAAATAGAATCAAAAATAGCTATGTAGTGAGCAGAAGCCAGTCGTATGCAGGCAGAGGCGTTATTAATTCAACTTCAAAAATGTTTTCAAGCATATCAAAACTGATAGAAATTCAGAAAGAAAAGTATTTTATGATTATTGTTTACTTGTGTTACCTAATTTTAGACATTTTAAAAAATGATATTTGCACAAATCAATTTACTATATTGCTCCGATTACTGTTCTGTAACAGTAAGCTTATTTTTTTTTGTATCAACACGACCTTTCTTAAATCATTTCCTAAAAATCACCCCTGGCCTTTTTTTGTAATGGCACCTTCAATCCGTAAATCATTTATAACTGAATAAGAACAGGTTTATTTTCAACTGGTTTTTAAGACCAATGTTTTTTTATTGTATTTAAAATTGCAATTGGTTTACAAATTGACGAAAATAAAATAGGAGTGTCATTACAAAAAATGCAGGGATGTTTTTTTGGGGATTATATTTGTAGATATGCTTTTCATAAAATTTTTAAAAAGAGTATTGGTTCCCATTACAAATACATTTTGCGATTTGTCCTAATCTTCACAAACGGCGAAGTTCTAGGCTGTTTGAGTGATTGTGGAACACTCAGAGTTTTTTTTTAACTTTTTCGTTCGTATTTAGAACCATTGTCGCTTAAATTAGGGTCCAATTACAAAAAAGTGTCAGAGGTTTTGATAACTATTTTTAAAAAAGGCAGTACTTCCCATTACCAATGCATTTTTCCTGATCTGCACTCACCGCGTAGTTTTAGGCTTGTTCCAAATCCTCTAAAATAGATATTGTTGAATACGGACATGTGAAAATAAACCTTCCTAGAAAACTAACTCTATAATCATTAACATTTTCTTTACAGTGGTTGATAAAACTTTTTAAAGCATTATTTCATTGAAATTTTAAATATTTGATACAGTAGATAATAAAAATTTTAAAGCTCCTATGCATCGCTCTATGATATTCCTGGTAAGGCAATGCATTTAGTATAATGTTCTTCTGCAGTATCAGGTTCAGCATTAATAACAGGCATTAGGAGCCAGGCTGTTAATGGATATCCAGAGTCACCTGTACAAATGTATCTTGCATTATAACTCATCTTCAAGCAGGCATATAACAATAATTACAACTGGAAAACATACCAAGGAACCAAGCTGTTCCACCCTGGCTGTTTAAAATGTTCACTGTCACATATCTGAAAAGAAATAATCATAGACGAATTTTCAAACTAAATTGGTTAAGTTGGTAAATTATATAATTAGAATTAAGATTTAAATACTTTCATTTAGACATTAATAATTATGTATTGCAAAATTAACAAAAGTGCCATTATTTGCTTTTTATGAACATACATACCAAAATGTAAAATTATCTCCAAGTTGCCCGCATCTAAAGTCTAAAAAATTAGAGTAGATGTTAGTGCTGAAGTCTGTATGTTACCTAAAATATGTGGAATATTAAGATTTTTTGCTGTATTGTTATTCTTGCAGATAATTAATCTGAGGTATTGATCTTATGATTGTTGAATATCGTCTTATCTTGATATGTAATCCCATTTTCTTAATATGCATGGCAATATACTTACTATACTATCTTGTGGTGTTTCAGAGAAGTAAATATGCTTCGATAGAATGTCTAAATGATTTAATGCATCCTCCACTTCCCTTTGTGCTTTGGATACACTGAATTATAAATTTCTGGTAGGAACCAGAGGCCAGCACCAAAAGTGCTGTTAATACCTAAAATCAATGTATTTCTATACTGTGGTAGGAAGGTGCAAGTAAGCTTATTTGGTGATCATTGTGGACTTCAACTCATACAAACTGAAAAATACGCCGTAGGCAAGCAGTTTGTCGTTTCTGAACATGCATTTTTCTACTTTCCAATGCTTCCAAAATGCAAAAATGCACGAACCATCGCAGAGAATCAAAATTGCTGGAAATACAGATTGGGAGTATAAAATCACTTCTTAGACTCGTCAAGTTATTATATTTCTCATTCATTTCTTGTTATACTTACCTTTCTTGTTTAAAAAATGAATAATTTTGACAAGTTCATACAAACCGATTGGCGACCGACTAGACGACGACCACTAAGCAGTTGACAAGTTAACAGTTCAAATTAATGCACTTCCTTGTTCACCAGTTGCTCCATAGAAGTGCCACCATAGCTGGTCACTGATTGTGTAGAAAAAGTATTTTTTGAAATACTCGAGGACAACTCGCTTATGCACTGGTGTTATTTGCTTGAGGAAAAGGTACTAAAAGTAGATGACATTCTTCATTCCACGAAATATCTTATTTCAATAAATTATTTTGCCCTGGTAGTGACAATTGTTACATGGCCTGGGCATCGCTGACCTTTTCTCAGCTATACAGGTATAAAATCGCTTCCCCTGGATCTTTACCCGAGAGCGAGCAGCGGCTAGTGCACTTTACATACAAAATATTTCTATCATTCTGTCTTTAAGGCAAATATATGTGTGAAATATTCGTAACAGGTGCGTAGAATTACTGGGGCTACAACTTTATAAATATACTGCTTCCAAAAACTGCGATACACCTTACCCCACCTCCTAAAACCCCCACCCACCAATGTTCCCCCTAAAAAAATTTGATCGAGATCCTCTGAAACGTGAAAAAAAGAGGTTTGGGCGATTTCTATTTCCGGCCTTTTTCTCCACCGCCACTGGACCGATTTTCAAAATCTACAAGGCTGTTTCGTCCTTGGCGTAGTATGTAAAAATCTCCTCCAAATCCGAGCTATACTTTCCAAGTTAGAGACGGGCTAGGGATTAGCGGACAAATAGATAGACCGGCAAACAGGCCAACAGAAATTAGTGACATGGTTTTTCGTGATGTACATGTCATATAACATCCAAAAACAGCGTGGGAAGTAATAACTAAAACTGGATTTGCAAAGAAATAAAAAACAAAAACTTTATAAAATAACCAATGATATTTATTTTTTAAACCACTTTTTATCAGCCCTGAACAAAGTACTCCCAATCAAAAGAACAGTGTCCAAATTCTTTCAATATTTTCAATAAAAGAGTAAATCTGACGGCTTCTGAAAGCTGGATATTATCTCAATATTGTTACACAGAAACTCTTAGATGTGGGTGTACAACTATAATCGAGAATTAATTAATGACAGTACCTACCTCGTTCTTTTCTTCCTTTCCTTTCTCGATGCTATCATCCTTTGTTTCTGCCTCAGTAGACTTTCCGTTCTCTTCCTTCTCAAAAATCACCTTCCCCTTTACATCTTCATTCAGTTTCGTGATATTTACATGAAGGCTCTTCTTGGCATCATCTTTCCCAAACTGACTGGGCGTCTTGGATCGGCTTCTCTTCCTCTTGCTCCTGGCAGCAGCAGGCTTGGCTGCCGCCTCTTCAGTTGTGGAGCCGCCATTGGGGATCTCTTCGAGTACAGCAGAACCGTTTTTGGCGGTCTCGACCTCCATTGGGAACTGAGTCTGCAAGAATAAAATGAGCTGTTCCAAATCAACAGTCATTTCGAGCAGGTATTCTGCAAAGACTCATAAATGCCCATCACCTGTTTACAGAATGTAAGCGGATTTTTCAAAAAACATTCGCATGGCGATTATTAAGCAATAAACTGGAGTGAATTAGATTGGTGCAGAGCCACTAATTAACATGAATCCAATACACCACCCAAAAGCATGGTTTACAACATATCCTTTTCGACTCATGTACGTTAAAAATAGCTTTATGGCGAGGTACTGAAAAACTATAGAAAGACTTTTTGTTTTTTTTTTTTGTTACAGTCCTGTAAATATTTTAAACAAATTGCTCCTTTTATAGTCTATATATTTTTCCACAAAGATCATAAATGCCGAGGCACCGCGGCTGCTATGAGGATCCCTCCAAAGAAATTTTGTTAATCCGATTTTTGAACTGCCTAAGGTTAGTAGAACAGGGAAAAGAATCCCCTTGTAGATTGTTCCACAATCTCGACACCTTCGGGACAAAAGAGCGGTCGTATCGGCCAGTTCTGGATGTACGAAGTTCGACTTGGCTGGGATAGGAGACCAAAGTCAGGCGGGTCTGTCTGGCAGACACATCACGCGGCAGCATCATGGAAGAGGGCTCTGAGAAGCAGAGGCGGTTGGTGTAGCGGTAGAAGAGAGCTAGATCGTCGACGGCCCGCCGGTGCGAACGAGTCCCGAGACTGTCTGTTAGAGAAGAGTCAGATCAGTCGGACAGCCCTCCTCTGGACATCATCGAGAATGAATAACGTAGTCAGGGCGGCCGCACCCCAAACGTGTGAGCAATACTACAGGCTAGGCCTTATCTGGGCCTTGTATAGAGTGAAAAGGTCATGCGGAGAAAAGTACTTCTTAGCCCTAAACAAATAGCCTAGCTTTTTTCCAGCAGCTGCCGCTTTTGACGAGAAGTGTTCGTGCCAAATCAGTTCCTCGGTGATCTGGACTCCGACCAGCTGAAATGAACGGCTTTTTGTTCGTCAAGGTATAGTACTGTGTTTTGGAAGCATTAAACTGTACAAGATTGTTGCGTCCCCAAGCAGTGATAACCTCCAGGTCTCTCGTCAGAGAGGAAGTCGTCCCTAGTCTTCTTTTTTCCCGCTCAGCGGCAGAGATCGGCTTGTCACTCTGAATACCTGCATGAGAGTGTTGTCATCTGTGAAGCTGTGGATTGTGTTGATCGTGCAGGAAAGGAGGTCGTTGATATGTGTCGTAGCCAAGACCGATCCCCTGTGGATCGCTGGTGCCGGAAACCATACTGCCTTTCGCTATTCAATCCGTGACATTCGAGGTAGTCCGCTTTATGCACCTTTCCATCACCTTACTCATAACAAAAAGCAGAGCTATAGGCCTGTGAAGTTGTAAGGGTCGGTCTTAGATCCTTTTTTGGGATGGGTTGGACATGAGCTAATTTCCAGTTTTCTGGGAAGGTGCCGAATTCATAAAATATCTAGAAGAGACGCGAAAGAACTGGAGCAAGCTCCGCTGCACACCTCTTCAGTACAATGGCAAGAATCAAGTCCGGACCAGAAGTTTTGTTGATGTTGAGCGACAAGAGGTCTTATGCCTGAAGGTTACTTCCCGCATAGTGTAGGGAACCCTTTGAATCAACGGCACTTGGGCGTTGGGGGCATGGTGGAGTTGGCAGCAAAGATCTTGGCAAGCACTTCCGCCTTGACCTGTTGGTTACAATCGTTCCATCCTGACACGTAAGTGGTGGAAAGCTACTACTCATTTCGCTTAAACAACTAGACCTCTAAAATCAATAGTCTATGATGTAGAATTTTTTGATTTTTATATTCTGGTCACAAAAATTCGATTCACTTGAAAACTTAATACCGAATCAAATGTAATTTGACAAAAAAGTTAAGAAGTGATGTAGCAACCATGAATTGATTCACCATCGAGATGTCGAGCGATGTGCCGATATGCGAGCGCTGCTCGGATAATTTTATAGTAAATGGAAAATACGTTCAATGCAATAATTGTAAAACGAGATGTCACAGTCAGTGTGTTTCGATAAAAGACAAGTTGCAAAAGCTATTATTAAAAAATGGAAATTTGAGCTGGTTGTGATACGTGCAACAAAAACCTCAAGAAAGTACCAGAAGATCTCGGTGGTAAACTGGATATTTACGCGAAAGCGTGAAAAGCCGTTACTTGAAAAACTATTAAGTTATAGTTTTCGAATAATCTATTAAAGTCAGAATTTAACATTGGAGTGGTATCATCAGCGCAAAAGCTGTCGAGATTCACACTAAAAAAACATATATTTTCGTTCAGCAGTGCCATGAAAAGAGAAAACAAATAAGCAGCTGTTTTGCTGGTAAAAACCAATCAAAATAAAGATGATCTGGATGTCGTTAAATCAAGAAAGAACAATATTATTCCCGCTAAAATCACTGTGTGTGTTAACGCAACGCGGAAGATGAAGCAAGGTGCAGCTGTGTATTGTAGGAATAGTGATGACCTGCAAAAACTAAAAGTTCCACTCAAATCCAAATTAGATGCTAACTTTCAAATTGCAGAACCAGTAAAGTATAACACTTGTATTTTATTCAAAAACTTTGTAAAAGATGAAGAACTGGCTTCAGACGCTGAAATGATTATAAAAAAATCTCCAACACAAAAAACCTTGTCTAGTAACTTGTATTATCAAACTGAACGATTAGATGAAGGTAACTCCAATATAAAAGTTGTTACTACGCTAAAAATGAGCAATGTCCATCATTTTGCAGCTTCCGCTTCTCCCTATGGTATATTTCGTTGTGACAGAGCGACACGGCAGTTTCGCAATTCAAAGTATTTCCGGGGATAGACGAAATAAACCAATTTTCTCAAAATCGTTTTTATTTTTTCCTGACTTTATGTAAGATGGATTTCAAAATAAAAGTACATTAATACTGCCACTTTTTCTATTCTGTAAGGTGGCATAATTAGAATTTCAATATGACGTTTCGTTTATTCCCAACTATGAGTGTGTTAAGAAAACAAGTCAGGAAAATCGTCGAAAATTTATTTTACACTTGAACAAACATTTTACATAATTGTAATATAATGTAAAATCGAATTATGTAAGTAGGTATTCATTTACAGATTTGGAAAATAACGTCCATTTGTAACCAAACATTTTTGACAATAATTGGTGACTATTGCTCAAAATTCTTTGACTCACGATTTCTATGGTCGCAGGAGGATCAAATTCATAGACATCATTCTTTGTGTGACCCCAGAGGTAGAAATCCAAGTGTGAAAGGTCAGGGGATCTAGAAGGCCAAGATATTGAACCATTTATTGAAATTATTCTTTCATCAAACTGTTCTCTTAAGAAGTTCCTGATTTGAATGTTGTTGTGAGCCGGACATCCATCCTGTTGAAACCAGGTTCTGCTAAACTCATCTTCAGTTAGACTAGCTCGTAAAGCCGCCACAACCTGGTTTCGCAAAAGATCTAGGTACCTCTGTCCGTTTGGGTTGAAGTCAAGCAAAAATGTTCCTACAAGTCGATTTCCTGAAGTGATTATGATTTCAAATAGCTGCCTAATTAAAAAAGGTAAGTTAGATTAAATTACCAATGACCCCACAACAAACGTTAGTTCCAAATCTGGTCTGTAGGCGTCTCTCTGCCACTTTGTGAGGGTTTTCCACAGCCCAAGGATGAGTGTTGTGCTTATCGAAAACTCCACAATTCGTAAACCTACTCTCATCGACCCACAAGACATGATTTACAAAGTTGAGATTTTCATTAAACTTCCTAGCATACCACTCACAGAAGCGCATTCGTCTTGGAAAATCAGGTAGGTAGGTTGTTATTAAATTAACTACTATTTTTCTAAATTGAGTATTATGAGGCTGCCGTAGTTCGGCATACATCTGCAAGTACCTTGCTGAGGTAATGTCGGCGTTTATGTGTGACTGCAGGTACAGCGCTAATATGTCAAACTTCTTTACTTGAGTGGCGAATACCGGCCATTTTCAACAGGTTTTGATAATTTTTTGTCAAATTTATGATGAGAGAAAACACAATTTTAATATTTTGAATTATTTAACGTCAGATGAAAAAAATCCGTCACTCATTAATTTTATTTTCTGGCAAATAAATCATAGCCCCCTTAGAAAAAAATTAATATATAACATTTTTCGAAAATCTAAACATCCAATATGGGGGCCATGAGAAAAATTAAAGTTGCGGCAGGTTGCGGGAAAACAAAAGACGATTGAGATATGTCGTACACGCTATCTTATTTTCCTTAAAAAAATGTCACATGTTGACAGCTGTCAAGTTAACCATTTTGGATTTACTGGCAAAAACAAAATTCGACATTTTCGTTTTTCGCTGATATTTCCAAAATCAATTGATCGATCGAAAATTGGAAGCCGGCTATCGAATGCACTAAGTTTCCTCTAAAACTTCCCCCATTTAACCTTTGCTGTAGGCATAACAGGAGCCGAGATCCATGTATACCAGGGCGGTTCAATAAGTACCCGTGTTAGAAATGAACAGCGTTGATTCCAAAAAAAATCTTTTTATTTTTCAACATCCCATTTTCCCACCGTTCCTGCCATTTTTTTACCCCCTCACCCAATAGGATTTGTCGAACTCTCCAAAATACACCTGTCTCGGCGATGAGTTCCTCGTTTGAGCTAAATTTTTCCCCGCGAGCCATTTTTCCATGTCGGCGAACAAGAAAAAAGTCGCAGGGGGCCAGATCGGTAAATACAGGGGGTGCGGCAGAATTACGCCATCCCAAAAATTCGTCGCCATTACCTTTCCGGCCGATGGGACCGTCTTCGTCTTCGTTCACCGCGAAAAATCCATTGTTTTGATTGTTGCTTAGTCTCTGGTGTATAATGATGAATCCAGGTTTCAGCGACGGTGACAACTCGACGCCAAAACTCCTTCGGATTTCGCTTAAATTGCTCCAAACACTGCTTCGAAGTTAACAGCCGCATCCGCTGAGCAATCGCGGCACCCATCGGGCCGACAATTTTTTCATAGTCAACTTATCATGTAAAACACTGATTTCCGTTCCGGTCGACACACCTACGGCCTCTGCTACTTCGCGCACTTTCGTTCGTCGATCAGCGAGAATCATGTCGTGGACTTTTTGAATGATTTCCTCGGTAATCACGGCTGCCGGGCGTCCTGGTCGATCCTCATCAAGAACGGATGGTCGCCCACGTTTAAATTCGTTGAACCAATATCTAACTGTGGTCTTAGATGGCGAAGTGTCCCCATAAACATAATCCAACTTTACTTTTATCTCGTCGCGTTTTCCCCATCCAAAAACAAAAAGCGAATTTCCGAACGATACTGCTCTTTTTCCATCCTAACGCAAATCACTAAACACGTGTTACTCGAATGGCTGCCAAATCCAAACTAACCTATTATTCAGTCTGAAATTTGTTGTGATGAGGTTTGATAGATGGCAGCACACGATGATAACATTACCTTCCCTCAGGAACGCCCTCTGTCGTCAAACACGGGTACTTATTGAACCGCCCTCGTATAGGTATGCGAATCTGGAACACATTGTTTTACGTATTATTTAAGAGATATTCTACCATTGAATCAATTAATTAGTTTGTATCATGCACAGCTTGACTGTCATATCATTTTGGGGAATTCTACTAATTCAAAGTCAAAGGGGGAGTTCATGAAACAGAAAAGAATTATCAGACGTATAGCAGGTGTTAGTGCTAAAACATCATGTAGAGATATGTTTAAGAGATTCATAGTACTAACTCTTGCTGGTTTATATACATGTTTATATATATATATTTAAAAATAGAGAAAAATTCCCAACACAGCCAAATGCATTCAATTAATATGACAATTAGTTAAGACATATATACCACCCTAAGGAAGAGGAAATAAATAAATAAACTGATAGACACATTTAGGAGTAGGTAAAACTCAGGGATGTAGCAGCTCCCTAAACACAATTTATATCCATCATATCTAAAACAATGCACACATCTTGCATTCAAATACTATTGTATTAATCTAGAGCTGAAGTATCATGTAGAGTGGCAACCACAGTGCTACAATACTGTTTGTTATAGTTGATAAATGGGCAAACTATCTAAATGTCCTTTAAACATGCTTCTCAGAAAATGAGTCATTGGTGATTTGATCTGATAAACATAATATGATGAACTGTCATTTTCAAAGCCAACAAATAATTAGTTTTTTCAAAATAACTTAGGTTTAACAATGTTAATAACATATTACACATTTTTGACAACGGAATTAAAAATTCTATTCACATTTGCATCTATGAGGAAAAATATAATTAATAATATAATTATCCTATCTTGTAGAGGAGAAAGAGTGGCAATGATAATGTATCTTTTAAAATCCCATCTCAAATAAAGCCAGCTAAAAGGGAAAATGATTTTGGGAAAATTTGTTTTTTTTTGTTCATCTCTGGAAATACACAAAATTGCAAAAATTTATATATGCGATTTTCTTAATTACCTAAATGCGCAAATTTGCCCCCATTTAACTAACTTTGTATCTCTTACTGTACCAGAGAACCCAATAGTGTTAAATTTGAAACACCTGGTATATACAGAATTTATTTTTTTTCTTAGTATCCATCCCAGAAATGAAGCTAAAATCTCAAATTTTGTTACATACTCTAGTGAAAAAATGGCGGGAAAGTAGTGGCCATTCATTGGGATGCTATGGAATTTTGTTCACTCTGGTTTCAGACAATATAACCGTTGATAATCTCTATTACTTTTTATCTTTAGCTGAGGCTTTAGTCATATGTTGGTTTATTCAATTCCAAGAGAGTTTGATATTCTTTATAGTTAGATGCATCGACTTTTAGATGGAAAAGGGAATACTAATAACTACCACTCAATTTCAGTAGCTGGACACTTGCCTGAATATTGGATGTTGACTAGTATGATGAATTTGAACTCAAAATATTAGAAAAGATATTAAAATTAATTTATTTCATAAATTTTTAATATCTTCTGCATATGTACCTTTAAAGTCTATCATGGCTCATTTCACAAACAACAAAAATTGAGAAGTCAAATGCACCTGTCAATATGACAGCTGTGGATGGTGAGGATGTGAAATTTTTGTAAACCGTCACAAATAAGATGGTAAATCTGGTACCAATTACCAGCAAGTATAGGATTTGAAATATTTAAGTTGTTTCCCAATACTTAATATAAAATTTGTCCAACCAGCGATATTGTCTGCATTACTGGCACATTCAGCCTACTTGATACTTGGCTTTTAATTATAGTGAAAAACGTCACAAATATCTGGGGAGAGACAACAAAGTGGCTTCCAGTTATTTCATCTCTGAGAATAATAAGACTATCATTTCGACATACATTGTTTTAATAACGTAGACTCAACTATACAATTAGCATGAGGGCAGTCCTGCTACTATCATACCTATTAGGTGAAAACCAATTTTTTTTTAATTACAAAATTAATCTATCTCAAGTAAAGGACATGAACTTTAGCGGGAATTCAAGAATTTCTTTTGAAATGTTATGAAAATCTTAATTGATTAACAAAACCTACTAGAAACATACGAACACTTTTTAAAAACACAAAGACCTTTATTGCGAATGGGAGCGCCTACGAATTAAAAAGCAATTACTGTTTTATCATGTGTATCCATTCCGAACGTTCACGAGATAAACATTTTCAAAACTAGATGCACGAGGACGCGTTAAGTAACGAAGTAATGGTCCTAGAACCTAGATGCACTAGATTCTTAATATAACCGAAGTAAAGAGCAGAGAGTGAGGAACTTTTTTTATCGGGAAAATAGTAGAAAAAGTGGCAATTTATAATGAGAAATGAATAAAAATCGGCTTGAAATGTTAAAACGAACGAGAAAATACGACTACACGAAAATAAACGAGCTACTCACCTAATTTTAAGATATTTTTTATGTAAATAACCCAGCACAACACATACAAAGCCGTGTCAACAACCAGTCACCATATTTTTTAAAATGACAAGATGGCGTCCTCGAGGTTACGCGACCGCTGACCGCATATGTCAATTTTCACTTTGACATAGAACATCATCTCATACCCTCTCCATACTCACGCGCGGATCACGGCGTGAAATCGCGGCGCGGATCGCGGTGCGAATCCCGAAATTTGTTCCTACAGTTCCACACTCGCAGATCGCAGATGTTCGCGCCTGCTTCACAGTATAGTTCGCGCTCTTGACAAGTATGGACGGTGAAATTACTACTGCTGCTGCAGGGCTACTTTGCGCTTTGGCAATTTATAAGTACGCATATATAAGTAAAACTAAAACAATTGAAAAGAAATGGAAAAAACACCACCACTCCCGGCAGTCGCTATGAGGCAACTGAGCCACCAGCGAATGAGGAGTCTAGTCATGTTCGCGCCATGCGAACCCTTTGTCCCGGGACAAACAAACGGGAACAACGCGCGAACGCTATGTACAATAAATTGTAGGACACCTTTATGGCCTCCTATATTTTCATAGTCTTTTCTCTGTTTCTGAAAGGCTGGCGTTGGGGATTTCTATATTTATACTGTTCCAGTTGTTTTCTTTTTTGAAGAAGTTTCAGGCTGATAAAACAGATGATATAAATAGAAAAAATGGACAATGTGAAATAGATATATGTATATTAGTAAAATAGAGCGCTGACACGGATCAGTACAAAACTATGAAAATCAGGAGACCATAAAGGCGTCCTACAATCAATTGTATTGTAGGAACGTCTGACGATACGGTATGTATAATCTGTGGATACGGCCCTTATATAGCGCTGTCAGATTGGGTGATTTTAGCGCATGTCAATCTACTGTTTGGGGCACCACGTGAGGTGCTGTCAATGTGAGGTGTTAAATGTTGTTTATAATTGGGCCTATTTGTACCATATAGTTATCTTTCACGAGTATCCATCTCGCTTTGACGTCTACTGAGGTGAACAGCTGATCAGCAAGTGATATTTTTGTGCAAGTCTGCAACGTTGACAAAAATGAATCGGGTATAAATCTAGTAAAACTTATTTGTAACGTTTTGTTTTTTGTATGCAAATGAACTTTTCTAAATAAAAGAGCTGTTAGCAAGTACAAAATGAATCTGTAACGTACAAAAAACCAAAACAAAATATGGGTTTGACTACCTGACGTTGACGGATCCATCAGAATTACGTATCCTGTGCGAAATGGGAAATTTTGAGATGTTTGGTGTATTTTTTAATTCACCGGTTGAGCAACCGGTGCCACCGGTGGACCAGACATCTGTCCTTTCAATTCAACCGGTTGCTGCCATCACCATACAAAGCTGTCAACAGTGTCAACCATAAGCATCAGTGGTGGAATCAACCGGTGAATTAAAGAATCCATTTACTAGATAATCAGCTGTCATTCTACCATGATGGGGATACTCGTTACTCATGAAATAGGGTATGTATAGGTTTGGAAACGATTTTTTTCGTGTGATGTTTATTTGGTTAGTTATGGGATTCTAAAAACTAACCGTAATGAAAGTGAAATTTTATTGAAATATTTTTTCAAATTAAAAACATTAAACATACGGTTAAATGTATATGGTGAGGATCAATTTTTGCTGACGGGCGCGAATTCAATGTGCGCACAAAAAAACGGGAGAAGTGTGTAAGACACATATGTTAGAAAGAGATAGAAGCCGGCTGGATAGCGAAGCTCATCATCACGTTGCCTAGCAACGGTGACGCAGAAGATCATCCAATCTGCCGCTTTAAACCGGTCCCACACGATGTGGCGAATGCCTTACAAAGTTGGACTCATGGCCATTCGCCACATCGTTTGAGAGAGCGCTGACGGATTACATGAGTCCAACATTCGCCACATGGCACGTTCGGGTTCTTGTCGGTAAATTTGACCCGCCACAAAGCACGTTACAACGTTGGAAGCATGGTGAGTTACGTTCCCACACGATATATCATAAATATGTTTGACGGTTTTAGGTTAGAACTAGTAGCGGTAAAAAACGGTATTTACTTGTTTGCTGTGATTCTGGTGAAGTAGTGGTATGTGGGAAGTATTTTGATTTGAATACCTAGCAATTCATAACAATGTATGTTCCGCAACTAACTTTTGAGAAGAACGAATTAAATTAGTATACACACAAAGCATAGGCTGCCATAACAAAGCTTTTTTCATATTGCTAATATTTTGTACGTTGGTATGTATTTTAGTAAATTATAACTTATCAAGTTTCTACAGTTGTTTAAATATAACGTCCTGTTGCAATGCAAGACTAGTTGAGAAATATATTGACTTGTATTTCATAACTAACGAAAAAGATTAAATAAATGATAGCTCTGAAAGTACTATCAGGATTTTGATGAAATTTTGACCCTAGGTTACTACTATGAAAATGACGAAAAAACTGCAGTTTTTGAAAATGAGTACAGTGGCGGCGGAGTTTTCGTCGAAAAACAAACAAAAAACGGTCAAGCTTTTTCGACATTTCTGAGGTTTCTGAGAGACTCAAGTTTTGGTCGCTGAAGACAAATCTGAGATTATTTTTCGGCAGTCGAAAAAATTGTATTATTATTGATAATAGACGTTGGCACCACCATGCGTCGAACGTCCGAGACTAAAAAGTTCATCCCATCGTGTAGGAGACACACTTGCTAGTGATGGGTAATCAATACGTTTGCAAGTATCGAATAGATACCGATACTTTATCTGTAAGTATCCCATACTGAGTATGCAATACCGATACCAACTATCGGCTCGATTAATTGCCGTTAGTATCCGTTAATTTAATACTGCTAGTGTGAAATAATAATAATAAATAATAATAATCCTGTTCGTGTCTTTATGTCGCTGATCCAGGCCCCGACCTTCGAATTTATTGCTTACTGTTTGTTTACTGTTATTATGCGGTCTCGGTCTCCTATAAGTAGGTATCATCGGGTATAGACTAGAAATTAGAAATGACTGATGAGTAGTGATGACTGATGAGCGATACCCTGAATTTTAAATTACATTGCTATATTTGTTATTGTTACAATATTGGTTAAAAATAAAATATAAATTCAAAATGAAACACTTTAATTCCCAAAAGATCCCCCAATTGACAACCGGAACGTGCAACAACCCAAAAATCGTATTCAAATTAAAAAACCCCTAAGACTGCCTTAGTTCTTTATCCTTTCGGTTCCAATACACAATACATAAACGTGACGGTAGACATCAACATCCTTATCTTAACGAGTTCTGGGAATCCCACGTGTCGGCCTCGACGTTGCGTTGAGAAGAACTGCTGGGTTATGTCATATCAAATATACAGGGTGACTTCGAAGTTGAGTCATTTATTTTAACAGTGAGTAGATCTGATCAAAAGAAATGTTTTTTTCCTTTACCATTTTTCTGGTAAAATTAAAGTAACAAAGTTATAGCCCTTTGGAAGTTTGAGTACCGCCCTGCCTATTATATGCTCGTGTTTGGCGACAACGGATATAATCCGCCTGACCGGTTCATCGCATCTGAAACAAAAAAGCGAAAGAATTTGAAACGTTTATCACGATGTTTTTCGTCAGTCGATAAATCCTGAGTGAATAGTAGTGTGTTGCGTGGCTCAAACGAAATCAAAAATGGCACATGTTTACGAAAATGCTGAACTTGTGGACATGATTCTTATTTACGGGGGGGCAGTCTTTACAAAATGCTCCCGGATGCATCACGGATTTATGCGAATCGGTTTCCCAATCGAGTGCAACCAACCCCTCGTGCCTTTGTTAATGTAGTGCAAAGGGCTCGTGAATCAGGTGACTTAAGACCTCACAGGTGAGGGCATGCTGCTCCAAGACCGCACGATCAAATACAGGTCCGCACTGAAATACTTGTCGGGAGGATACTTTATTAAACAAGGTAACATTTTTTTTTTATTTTTTTTTTATTTTTACACACATATTTTGGTTTATCTTCCTTCTACAATCATTATCTGAAAATTAATGACTCAACTTCAAAGTCACCCTGTATAATAGTATAGATTACATATTTATATAAGTTTAGAAGTGCTTAGTGTATTATATAATATATTCTCTTTTTCAAAATATAATAAAATATGAGTGATAAAAGAAGAAGTGGTGTTTGGTTGTATTTCAATGCAATTGATTCAAATAAAGCAAAGTGTGACATTTGCAAAAATATCTTATCCTATAAAGGTGGTGCAAGCTGCAATTTGAGGAAACATTTGAAGGCGAAGCATTTTGCGGTAATAACGGAAGATCTTCCGTCTCCTTCGTCTTTAAGAACATCTGCGGAGTTGGAGGAAATACCCGGACCATCAACTTCTTCTACACCTTGGAAGTCAGAAGTCACCCCAGGAAGTTCGGCTTATGACGCCACAAAAAAATTGATAAGGGCAAAAGACGAATGCCTTTTTCCTCATCAAAACAATCTAAAAGATCGACTTTTGCTACGCGGCCAATGTCTATTCCTCGTACTAAGAAGCTGCATATAAAAGTTTTAATCATGATTATAAAAGACATGCAGCCATTTACAATTGTTGAAGATGAAGGGTTCAGAGAATTGTTAGAAGAGTTTGATCCTGCTTATAAACTTCCTTCAAGAAAAATTTTAAGCAACAGTTTGTTGCCCCAAACATATGATGAGGTTGTTCATAAAGTAAAGAATTTACTAAAAAATTCGGAGTATTTGACGATTACGACAGATACTTGGACATCCACAGCTGTTGAAAATTATTTGGCCATAACCGTACATTATTTTTCTGTCACTATCTGTCTACACTACAGTATATATAAATAGTCAGATTGTCAGTATTTATTACAGTATTCGATACATTTATCAAAAAGTATCGGATACTTCTGACTTCGGAAAGTATCGGATCTTTTGTATCGGATAGATACTTTTTGCCCACCACAAACACTTGCCAATTGTGGGGTGCCGAATGTTGTATACAACGTTGGAAGCATCGTGTGGGACCCGCATAAGCCAAATGCTTGTGTTGTCACAACAATCAAGAAGTTACGAACACACGGTGGACGGTGGCGTCTTTTATTGACCACCATTCAATGGAACCGGTTGCTGTCGTAATAACATTAACCACAAAATATACACTGAACATTAACTGTCAACCATAAGTTCACTGGATCCATGATGGAAGCCACCGGTGAATTAGAGGATATAATCAAATCCAAGCGAATAACCAAAATTTGATGGGTTGATGACGTCAGTTACACGAATCGCTTGAACGCGTTGGTTTTAACCGCGGTTTTGTTGCAAGTTGTTTATTTTAGAAAAGCGCGTAAATAATCTCTGATTATTTTTATTATCACTTAATAATCGGTGCTTTTTCGTCTACAACTGTATATGGAAAGTTTAAATAAGAAACCTTTCATAATATTCATGGGAGAAATGTTTTTTTCAGATTTTTTTTTTAATGATGGAACCATGGCTTTGTAGCTATGATAACTTTCAATTCTCTAAAATTTTCCGCATGTCAAAGAAAACATTTATTGATTCAGCAGAAATGATGAAAAAAGAAATTAGCAAAACCGTATACAGGTGGATATCATCTAGTGAGTTTATATGGCCATATTTTAATATTCTTGTGGTATATGGCTACACAGGATACTTTGTTAAGCATAGGAACTACATTTAAAGTGTCCCCAACAACCGTAATGAGTATAACTAATAAGGTGCTCCACTTTATGGTAAAACTGAAGTCAGCCTGTATCATTTTTCTCAAAAATGAAGCTGAAGTACAATAACAATATCCAATACCCGGTAACATTCTAACTTGTCACATTTCAAATAATAACCAGAAATATAAAACTACTCTTGAGTTGGGTAAATACCACAATTTTACGGTGATAACTATGACATATAACAGCTGATTCGTGACGTCACGGATCTTATAACCAAACTGATAACTACACTCGCTTGAACGGATTGGTAAATACCAACCGAAAATGGTAAATACCATTTCCATTTGGTTATCCGCTTGAATTTAATTATTGTCTTATGTCAATTGTTTTGTGGTCACGTGGTGGTCACTACGTCACACGTTGTCCGTCAAGTCGTTTTTCTCTCTCATAATTTTTGAGGTTAAGAATTATCAAATATTTAACATTTTGGATAAATACGATATTAAATTACAATAGTTTCTGTTCAATATGGAAACGTGTAGCGAATACATAAAGAATGCATTTCCAACTATTGATGACGATCTGAAACAGTACGTTGAAGGTAAGCGCATATTCATCTGCAAGGTGTCCCATAAACAAAGGTTTGTTTTAAGGTGTCTTGCAAAATGGGGCAGACGATTTTGAAGACAGTGAAGAAGTGTATGAAGCTGTAGGCGAAGTATTACAAGAGGTTGCCAGTGATAAGACTGAGGAAGATATTAGGTTGGTGAGCTTAAATTGTATTTTACTAGATTCATCATGATTCTTAATAAACCATATATCCTGCTTTCGGGGAAACTGTGCCGTTTTTTTTGGCCCGGTGTCCTGGACAAACTAGGCTCTCGGAATTGTTCCCCTTTCCTGCAGGGCATCTTCTTGACTAAGTAGGCTGGTATGCAAATAGTTCGTTCCAGGCTTGCTGTAAATGAGCATGAAATGAATGACAGCTAGTTCCAAGTTGAGATCTTGTAGGAAGAAAACCTACTTAATAGTGAGTTATTGGACGTTCAATAAAGTCAGACACTAATAATTCCTGGCCATATTTGACATCGGATCAAGCACAGTAAAACAAAAATAAGGTCCCTTTAGCTGTAAAATTCAAATCAAAAAGACTGATACTTACCTCCAACGAGTTAAAAAACATGGACAAGTATTAAAACAATAGCAAAACTTTATAATTAATAAGATTATTGGAATTATATCAGTCTTAGTACTCATTTGAACAAAATAAAAGTTTATTTTATCCCAATGACTCTAATTCTAAAACAATTTTAAGATCAGTCTCTACTTGTCATTATTAGTGTAAGGTCGGTAGCAATAATGTCAAAAAAACTGACAATGTCACTTTTCAAGTTACATAATACCCCTGCGGATCTGACCTGTCAGTCAGGGGCACTGACAGGAAGTTAAGCATACAGAATCCCTGAAATTGACCCTACTAATTAACATTCATTAAGTCACAGATTATATTATTAGCTACATTTAACTACAGTGTTTGTAATTGGTTGACATACCTGTTTCATGTTCTTGGAAATATAATAAAGCTGGAATAAAGTAATTCTTCTGGAATGTTAAAAGTACACTTTTCTTCCTGTGCTCAAAACTTTGGGATAAGGGAGTTGTTACTTCTCATTCCCATGGCTCATTGTTTGCTTACTAGTTTTCTCAGGGATCCCAGTGATGCACTTTTTTTGATCCATCTCACTTTTCATTGAAAACATTCACTTTTTTCACTCTTGCTGTACATGTTGTGGCTTATGAACGCTTTTGAACTGCACATTCTAGAAAAAAGTTTCAAACAAAAGTTTTAGTGCTTCGAGGGGACAAAATGATGGTGACCTTGACAATGACCTTGACTGCGAAATTTTTCAAGGTCGAGCGAATACTTTCAAATAGAACTCCCTATTTTTTCGCATCATAATTGAAAAGATTAACAAATTTTAGGTCCGAACATCGCTTTGGCCACAGCCTTTTAAGGCCATTTCAAGGTCAAATCTAAAACAATTTGCTCTAGCAAAAATGATCGAGGTTTGTGGGCATCACACAGTGACCTTGACTATAACCTTCAAGGTCAATGCAAGAAAATGTTTAGTATGGAAATAGAAAAAGCAGAATGTCAAAGTGGCTTTATGCTTAAATGTCATTTGACGTCACATTTGGACGTAAAATTTATTGCTCTTTCGGCCGGATCTCAGACACAATTATTGCAGTTAAGTTACCAACTGCTGTACGAACATACCTCAAATGACCTTGAAGGCTAGTCAAGATCATGATTTAAAAATATTAGCTTGACTTGATATGACCTTGAACTTTGTAATCAAGGTCGTTGTCTAGCTCACCATCATTTTGCCCCCTCATTACCATACAACTTTCGTACGAAACTTTTTTCTAGAATGTGCTATATGGGACACCATGTATAAGTGACTTATGCATCGTTTTAAGCACTTCACCCAAAATATTCAACATCCATATTGGAAGATCTGCTTGATATCTAGATAGAATAACGAAACGTCATCTAGTTCTCTAACACTAACTTACACAAACACCATGTTTATACTATTTCAGCTGTCATTCCACGTCTGGCTGTGTTTAAGTGACAACAAAGGCTTTACTCACATTCTCCTACCTAAAGTTGTTTTTCAGAAGAATCTCACACAACTCTTAACTGGATTATTACAAACATAAATCTCATGCTTACATTTGTTTCTTACAGAAATATATGCAATGATCTGCTGACAATGCTGCAACCCAACAAGTCAAAAACAAGCAACAGAACAATAAAAACCTTGAATGCACCTGTTCATTTAGCAAACATGGTAGATAACAATGATGGTGCAATTGATGATGTGAAAAGTATATGGATGATGAAAAGGGATGAAACTTTGGTATGGTAAAATTTGAGGCCCAAATTAGATTTGCTACTTTTGGAGTTTGTAAAATGCACACACATTCAGTACATCATTATGTTCTTGCTTTGGCTGAAGGTCCATGGAATTTTGATAATAAGGAAGGTGCGATATTTTATTACTGCTTCCATTTCCGATAATTGTTTAAACATGTTATTCAAGTATCTTCCATCAATAATTTTCTCTTCCCTATTGGAATTGAAATTACAACTCCATCAAGAGAACACTTGGTGAAATTTGTAAGATGTAATGATAATGTTAACTATGCTTATCAGTAAGTATACTAAGTGACATATAAATCCGAACACCCAGTTTAAATGGTTTTATTTTAGTAAAATTTTGTATAAGTACTTAATGAAATGAATAAGTAAATGATAAAAATTTCAAAATGATTGCACTGCTTTAAAGCCCTTTGACCTTTAATAATGTGTGGATGCACCCTGATGTGCTACGCATTCTCCAACTCGCCTAGGCATGCTTCTGATCAGGTGGTCAATGTCCTCCTGTGGTATCTCATTCCAGGCAACCACCAACTCCTCTCGAAGTGCTTCTAGAGTCTGAGGAGGACGTTGCAAATTGAGCAATCTCCTACCCATCATATCCCACACGTGCTCAATTGGGGATACGTCGGGAGACCTTGGTGGCCATGGTAACAATGTGACATCATTATGTTGAAAGAAGTCTATTGTGACTCTTGCAACATGTGGTCGGGCATTATCTTGTTGGAAAGTTGGATCTGCCAGGGTGTCAAGATAGTAGTAGTAGTAGTAGAAAGATTTATTTAGCACATTTGGCTACATAAACAGAACAATTGTAAACAACTTAGAACTAGTAAATTCAAGCCATATGGTGTATGATGTAAATGCTGGGCAACCTATAATTGTAGATTTAACAAGTGATTTCTCAATTTTACTTTAAATTTTGTCAAAGTTTTCTGGTCTTTTATCTCCGAGTATAATTTATTATATTCAATCAACCCTTGATGGAATACAGATTTGTAGCATATGTTATACTTTTTGGTCATTAACTGGAAGTCATCTTTATTTCTGGTATTATGTAAATGATGGTCGACATTTGATGATGTTAAATTAGTTAGACTTGATGGAAATATATTATTTTTTACTTTATAAATGAATATCATTACAAGATATTTGATAAAATTTTTTACATTGAGCCATTTTAATTTGCTAAGCATTTGCCTAATTGGAGTATATTTATCTTTATTTAGTATTATTCTCATGCACTTATTTTGTAAAATTTACAGTCTTTCAAAAATGGAATTATTTGCTAAATATAGAATAGTCGAACAGTACAAGAAATTTGGAAGAATGATGGTATTATAGATCATTTTTCTGCTATATGAACTCAGACATCCAGAAACTCTCGATAAATATCCCACTTTACTACTAATCTTATTTATAACTTTTTCATAATGAATATCAAAAATTAATCGAGAGTCAACAAAAACTCCCAGGTATTTAAAATTTTCTACGAATTCAATATCTTCACCATCAATATTCAGTTGAACATTTGTACATTGTTTTTTTCCGATTAACAAGGCTTTCGTTTTACTTGCATTTAATTTTAGTCTGTTAGATGCTAACCATTTTGAGACAAGCTTCAAGTCTTCATTTATATAAGAGATACCAGACTGAATATTTTTAGTACTTATATAAATCATAGTGTCATCGGCGAAAATTTGAATTTTGCATTTTTTGACTATGGCAGGTAAATCATTTATGTATAAAATAAAAAGAAGTGGTCCCAGGATACTGCCCTGTGGAACACCCAACGTATTTTCAATTTTTGATGAAATAGTGTCATTAACTTTTGTAACTTGCATCCTTTTAGACAAATAATTTCCAAACCAATCTAAAACACTTCCTGTTATACCATATGCCTTCAATTTACCTAACAAAATATCTCTATCAATCGTTTCAAATGCCCTCTTCAAATCCAAAAATACTGCTATGACAACTTCTTCTGAGTCTATGGCTCTTCTCCAATTCTCAGTTACCAACTGGAAAGCTGTTTCTGTGGAATATTTTTTTCGAAAGCCTGCTTGCGCCTCCACTAAAATTTTGTTTTCTTCTATAAACTGCATTAATTGGTCATGCACTATGGACTCTAATAATTTTTCAATGTCTGATAACACATTTACTGGTCTCATATCGCTGCATCTTTTAGAATTTTTTATCTTGGGAACTGGTGTTATTGTAGAGCATTTCAAATTTTCAGGAAAAGAACTGCTTCTCAGTGAACAATTGATCCAATTTAATACAGGATATCCCAAAATTTCGAAACAGTTTTTCAGCACGTTTTTAGTAATCATTTCGGCACAGTTGTTATTTGATTTTAAACTGTTTACTTTTTTTCTTAGATAATTCAATGATACGCTGTGAAATTTTGAAAGTGTATGCAACATTTCCCCCTGGAAACTGATTTTCATATAGTCAGGTGCAGCATTGGCAGTACCTACAATATCAACAATACTTTCCACAAAATATTCATTTAGTTTGTTTGCAATCACCAAAGAATTTGTTTCGGTACCGTTTTCGAATTGAACTTGATTTACACAATCATGCGGCTTCGAATTGATCAGTCTTTTTAAAGTCTTCCACATCTTTACACTGTCGCACTTGTTATTATCGATTTGTTTATCGTAGAATTTTCTTTTTTCTTCTCTAATTACATATACACATTTATTCCTAAGAGTTTTATATACCTCCCAATCATCATTTGATTTTGTGAATATACATTTATTGTATTGTTTGTCTCTCAAATTTTGAGCTACCTTAATATTCTTGTTATACCAGGGTGTATTTTTTGTCGAGCAAATCAGTTTTTTATCAGTTGCAAGATCTAAACAAGTTTTTATATTTCCTATTATGTTGTCATATATTTTTTCCATATTCTCACCAAAATTCCAATAGCAGCCAGCAAGTTCTCGTTCAAGTTTTTCGTACTTAATAGTATTTACGATTTTCTTAATTTTTGTATCAGAAAAATGCCCTACCAAGGGCAGCATTGTCCAACTGTGATCGCTAACTTTAGGTGTATGTACAGCTTTAATCCCTGCACATTCGAAATTTACAATAACAAGATCTAACAAAGTCTCTGATAATGATGTTATTCTGGTACTCTCTTCAATTTTTTGCTTGAACCCATAGTTGTTTATGGTTTCTTTCAATTTTCTTGTTTTCATGCTTTTACCATAATAATTTAAATTAAAATCACCTAAAAGTATTATATTGTTTCTAAAATTCCACATTTCTTCGCATTTTTCTTCAAAAAACGTTAAAAATGTATCTGCATCACTGTTTGGTGAACGGTAAAAAGTACAAAGATCATAACGTTTCCCAAATAATTTGAACTGTATATGTGCATACCAGTATGCATAGTCTAAAGTGGTACAATCGAATAATGTGATCTGTATTTTGTGGTAAACATAAATCACTACACCTCCAGTATGTCTGGAGTTGGAGTTGCATCTGTAGGTTTTATAATTAGTAATTTGTAATTCACCATCAGTGATGTCTTCTGTAGCATGTGTTTCGGTAAGACATAATACAAGTGGTTTTCTCCATCTTAAAAACTGTTGAACTTCATCTATATTATTCAGGACTCCTTGTATGTTTAAATGGTATATTGAGTTATATTCATCACTTATAGATTTAGCCACGTCTTGCAAATCTGAGCTTAGTAGTTGCTATTCATTTGCATAATTAATTTTTTCCCTCTCACGATCAATTTTCCTTTTATATACTTCACAATTTTTGTCAAATGGTCCATGATTAATAGGTAATCCTAGATTAAAATCTTGGTTTGCACTTTTACAATTTGGACAGCATTTGTACATTTCACTGGTACTACAGTTTTCTGTTGAATGTCCTTCTAATCCACAAGTAAGACATCTTCCTGATTTTGTGCAGTATTTAGCTGTGTGGTTAAATCCGGTACATTTATAGCATCGCAAAACATTGATGTACTCGAAAACAGAGCAAACAGACATGTCGATAAAAATAACACCCTGATTCATAACACACTTAAAAGTCACAGCATCCACTTCTAAAATTGCTTGATATTTAGTTTTCATTTTCTTGACTGTAATTACTCTCATATGTGAATTTTCTTGAAAAGATTCATTTTGTGATTTTATAGTATTTATTAGCTCGTCTTCTGCATATTCTTGACAAAATCCAATAACTTTGATTTGTGGTTTTTTACTTATCTCTGAAGTTTTCACTGTATATGTTTCTGGCATTTTTGATTTTATTTCATTATGTAGCTTCGCGTTATCATCTTTTGTTTTACATTGGATTTTCATCCCACCATCTTTCAATTCATAAACTTTTTCAATAGCAATTTTCAAACTGGTAGGATTCACAAATTTTGCGATGTCTTTCTTTGTGTTATTACACTCTTGTTGGTTATTAGGCTTAACAATGACTGTATTTGTGGGTTTTAATACTGGTGATTGTTTTTTTGCTGTACATGTTTGTAATGGTACGCATTGTTGCTTATATTCTACCATTTGTGTAGGCGAATTAACGGTTGAAGGCCCTGAAGCTTTAACCATATTAGCGTAAGTTGTAATTGCTTCTTGTGACGGCTGTTGCATTTTCCCAATTTTTTTGTTTAATTGGTCTATCTTTTCGTACAATTCTTTTATTAATTTCTCTTGAATCGAAATGGTATAATCTTTTAGTTTCAAAACTTCCTCTGTACAAAATCCCTTTTCACTCAGTGAGACCACACTCTCCACTTCCTCACTAGCTCCATCCTTTTTAGAGTTTTCCTCCATATTCACACTAAAAATTCAGGAATCTCCTAAAAACCTTCTTTAGCTTGACCTAATTTTTGACATTAGAAGTCAAAAAAGTATTTCCAGAATTAATTTTGTGCAATCTCTTCCGTGTGGGATCTGCAGCTGCAAACAGGTGTGGCGATATATATTTCGTTAATCTTCCCGGTGATCCTTGGTTGATATTTTTATGTGTGGTCTTTACCAATATTTCGTGTCTGTGTTGGAGCGAATAAAAAGAGCAAGTGTAGTAGTTAATATAGCAAACTTAATCATAGGGTAAAAGATGGGGTTCTAGAAC